AAGCAAAGTGTCTCTCATAGCTTTAAAATGAACACCTGCCTTGATGCTTGTGACACTCTGCTGGATGGATTGATGGTGGATTGCTTCACAGAAACTTGAATGTGAGCATTCCTGTGTGTGCTGTGATCTGTGCTGCTGTAAATTCTTACTTGAATAAAGTTAGTGGAAGGTGGTTCTGACTGTTTCCAAACTCTGCTGTCAGTCAGGATTCCTGCTTCCGTCATTAGCCGCAGGCCACAGCAACAAGTAAACGATCCTCAGCTGACCTCCTGTGGGGCCCCCGGGGCAGAAATTAACCCTATTAACCCCCCCTATACACGACAGTTTGACTGTTGCCCCAGGCACACAGTAAACCAACAAGTGTTCTACAGCTGAAGAGATTAGCTGAAGGATCAGTCAACTGACAGAAAATGTTTTGGCAACAAATTTGATAATTGATGAAGTCAGTTAAAAGCAAAAATACAACAAACTCACCAGTACCAGCCCATCAGATGTTCAGATGTGCATATTAACAAGTTTCCTAATGTTCTGTGATAGAAAACTAAACATCTCCTGGTGTTGCATTCACTGAACAATCAATCATATTTGCATATGTTCAATAGTAAAAATAACTGTTTGTTGCATCCTTAAAGTATTGTCATCATGGAATAATACTACCTTGCAGTGGTGGAAGAAGTATTCAGATCCTTTACTTAAGTAAAAGTACTAAAAAAAAGTATCATACTGTGAAAATACTTCACTACAGGTAAAAATTCTGCATTCAAAACTTCACTTAAAGGTGTAGTGTGTAGGATTTAGTGGCATCTAGTGGTGAGACTGCAGACTGCAACCAGCTGAAACATCTCCCGTGTTCCAAGCAGGCTCTAAGGAAGTGCGCCGGGCTTTAAAGCCAATTTACTTGGTGGCCACATGGTGGAAAAGACTTTTTTCCCATTGACTTACATGGCAAAAGAGACATCTGTAAATCAGTGGATACATTTTTTTTTAAGATCACAACCCTTGTGAAATGACTCTATCCATGATCGGGATTTGATCCATTCGGTTCGATAACATCTGGGAAGTCTACAGGAGCCACATAATTGAATCATTTTATCCCCATTCAAGTTAGCGGAGTGAACCGGTTGTAGCCACCTCGATTGGCGGAGGTCTCTAGTCTGCCTGCTCTATGGGCCAAACTGTGCGAAAGCTGCGCTGATCATTTGGGTAATTCTGTACGAGGCAGTTGAACTTCTTTGGCTTCATGCACCACTGAGCAACTTTCATAAGAATGAATGGGGCTCCATCTCTAGCGCTGTATCCAGTTCTCTTCATACATCCATGTTCCTGAGTGTATAGGAGAACTACAGTTGCCAATATGTCCCCCTGGATCAAAACAAAAGTATAACAGATTGCTGCCACAAGAGCTTCCTGAGCAGTTGCGGGTAATGAGTGAGCCGCTGCCTTGATGTTGTCTTTCTTTTCTTTGTTGGTTTTGCTCACCCTGGCAACATGAAGCGCCATGGGCTGATGTGTTTCTTTGCTTTGTTAACCCATTGTGGAGATGTTTGGAACCAACCTGTTCCTTCCTGCATGAAGCTGGTTTGATTCAAGAAAATATTTTTGTTCCAATAAAAATCATCTTGTTAATATAGCACTGCTTCCTGTGTGTATATCCTCCTGTGTCCTCATATGTGGACATCAAGTTTTGGATTTACTTGACCTTATACTTCATTCTACTTAACTTAGACCTGTTGTCCTCGTTAGTGGACACTTTTTGTGCCATCTAGTGGCAGTAGGAGCACAATACACTAATCCATGTAAAAACAAGATGGCAGCCATCTCTGCCAAGTCAGTCTGCAACTGATCCCGACACAAAAGTGGACAAGGTCCAAAACCTGATCACATTTTATGAATGGAAATGTTTATTTATAATTAATGTAGTTCATAGTTTGAAATGACAACAAATTTGACCAATTTTAGCAACAGTAACAAGCTAAGACGCTGTTAATTAGGGACGTTGGGACTTAACTATCGTTGACAGTGTTGAGTTTTCTATACTTATCAGGTCCTACTGATCCCAAATAGCGAGGAGAAATTCAAATGTATACCAAACAAAAGTTCAGGTCTCAGGAGGAGATGCCTTAATAGTATCTGAACCTCTTGTCCGTGGTTTGGGTTTGCCACACTAATGACTAAACCTGATGAATCACGCAGTTAGCTTACAGCTGTGCAAAGAAAACATTGTTATGAATGTTGTATGCAAACAAATCAAAATCTGTGATAATCAGCGATGGTTCAGTGACAGTAGCAAAACTCAAAACCAGAGCACATTATCAGGAATCACTTTTGATCTTCCTCTGCCGCAGAAAAAGCACATTGACAGTGTTGTACTGATAATTAGAAGAAGAGTTACACCCAGCAGAAGATAGCGAACCTTTGTCACCCTTGTTATTATCAAACAAATAATATATTTGTGAGTTATCTCATTACGAGTGCTCTTCAGTAATACAATCTGCTGGTGGTAGATGTCAAGAAATATTCCCTCTAGCCCCAAAAAAGCTGGCAATTTTTCCTTTAATTGTAACAAGACTAAGAGGGAAACATGACACCCTGTCAACAATAAATTACAATAATTATTCCTGTTTCTATTCATGGATTCACCTCTCAGTAAAGGTCAACTGCCTTTACGGCCAGAGGCCAAACTGTAAGTCACACGCCCAAACGTTCCACAGAGTGTTGTCTTTACCAAAGACAACATGGCTTATCATGTTTAGAAGCTGGTCTCATATTATCTGAGTTAATCAGCAATCTTTTACCTTTATTATCGTCAACCATTAACCATTAGCCTGATTTTACTTTCCAACAGCAACCACGTGTTGTATTATTTATCTTGAAGACTGAAATAACATAACAGTAGGTGCAAGGACATAGGCTGTGTTCATGGTAAAACAGATTTTTCAGTGCTAATTTATATCTATTTTTAATGTTGAAAGGCTAATTTAGACTTAATATGCAGTGTTACCATAAGGCTCAAATATGTTTTGTGGCTCCAAGCAGATTTTTTAAAATCATTTTTGGTCAAAAACGTCTCTTTTGATAGTTAAGGTTGCTGACCCCTAGTTTATGTTTTCCTTTGGAAAAAATTACATACACAATCAGGAATAAACAAGAATGGTTTCAATGTATCTGGGGCCCATTTATAAGATAGTTTTTTATTTTATTTTTTATTTTATATACTTTATTAATCCCCAAGGGGAAATTCAATTCAATTTTTCAGATATCTTAGGGGTAATGATTTATCTTGTATGTTGGACATAACTGGTGAAGAATAATTACAACATCTGCAATAAAAGTCATTTGAACTTTATAAAGACAAAGTAAATGTAATATACTGTATGCAATGAAGGACTTGTAACAGTGTCTGTCATATAGTCCCCCAATGTAAATTATTCTTTTTTCTTTTCGTATTTTCCCTTTTCATTTTTTTTCATTTATTTATTATTGCTGTTTGTGTCCCTATTTATTTATTTTTGTCTTCATGTGTGAGCATGTGTGCGCTATAATTTTTCAACTGTTTTGACACAGCTTGTCACCATGTATGTATGTATTTTAAAGAAATTCCAAGACTTTTGTAAACATTCATACATATTGTATGTATTCTGTGTTCTTTATTGTATAATGTTGAAAACTTAATAAACAGATTGTTGAAAAGAATTAAATAAAATATATTGAATTAAATTAAATGGAATTGAATTAAATTAAATTCAATTAAGTTAATAATGTAAACATTTTTTTTTTTTGAATGAGTTACTGTGATGTAGAGCCTGTTCACTCCACTGCAGCAGGCAGCATTATATACTGCTGTGAGAAACTGCAAGACTTTTGTAAACATTCATACATATTGTATTCCATGTGTTTATTTTTGTATAATATTGAAAACTTAATAAACAAATATTGAAAAAAATTAAATAAAATATATAAAAATAAGATAAAACTGAATTAAATTAAATTAAATTAGATTAATAATGTAAACATTTTTTGAATGAGTTATGACTCTATGTGTTTATTTTTGCATAATGTTGAAAACTTAATGAACAGATTATTGAAAAAAATTGAATAAAATATATAAAAAATAAAATAAAATAAAATAAAATTAGATTAAATTAAATTGAATTAGATTAAATTAGATTAAATTAAATTAATAATGTAAACTTTTTTAACAAGTTACTACTCTGTTTATTTTAGTATAATGTTGAAAACTTAATAAACAGATAATTGAGAAAAATGAATAAAATATATAAAAAATAAAATAAAATAAAATAAAATAGATTAAATTTAATTAGATTAAATTAAATGAATAACATAAACTTTTTTTTTAACAAGTTACTACTCTATGTGTTTATTTTAGTATAATGTTGAAAACAATAAACAGATTATTGAAAAAATTAAATAAAATATATAAAAAATTAAATTAAATTAGATTAGATTAAATTAAATTAAATTAAATAAGATTAAATAAAAATTAATTAAATGAATAATGTAAACTTTTTTGAATGAGTTACTATTCTTTGTGTTTATTTTTGTATCATGTTGAAAACAATAAATAGATTATTGAAAAAAATGAATAAAATATATAAAAATAAAATAAAATAAAATAACATTAAATAAGATTAGATTAGATTAAATAAAATAAATTAAATTAGATTAAATTAAATGAATAATGTAAACTTTTTTTGAATGAGTTACTATTCTGTGTGTTTATTTTTGTATAATGTTGAAAACAATAAACAGATTACTGAAATCAATAAAATATATAAAAATAAAATAAAATAACATTAAATTAAATTAAAGTAAATTAAATCCAATTAAGATAATGATGTTAATGAGTCACTGTGATGTGGAGCCCGTTCACTCCGCTGCAGCAGGCAGCAGCATACACCGCTGTGTGTCAGCCTGTGACGCGTCACCCATGAAGCGGAAGAGAAAGAGTAGAAGAAGAAGCAGCAGCAGCAGAAGACGAAGAAGAAGAAGAAGAAGAAGCGAGGCCAACGTCCTGTTCAGTAGTTAGCTGCTGCTCAGTTTTTTTTCCCCTCACGGCTATGATTGACAGAGTCAGCAGAGGTTTACACGGGCATGTCCGCTCACTCGCTCGGTTGTTATCGTAACAGACAGAACTGCAGCATGGCGAGTCAAGAAAGAGCCCAGAGTTCTCGCCACTCAAACACAAGAACAAGAACACCATGTATCGGATTATTGAGGATGTTATTTATTGCTTTTATTCACACGACGCGGGCCAATAAACAAGGTTTGTAACTTAGCTGGCTACGTCCGCATTAGCTAACTAGCGCTAACTTCCGTAGACATTTCTACGAAGTGTGGGTTGAGGTTACATCAACGGGCCAACTTTAACACAGCTAGCCTGCTGCCTCGCTAACATTAACACCTCTCCAACACCGCTCAACTGTACTTACTTATCTCTGCCATTAACGAAATGTCACTGAGCGCTGGGTCAGGTTGACGGTTGAACTGGCACATAGCGTTAGTTCAGAATGAAAGTGCTACCTTCCGTTAGCTAACTATATGTGGCCTTTAACGTTACAGTAAACCTTAGCTTCGTTTGTAGCTTGTTGTCATGTTGTCATCCCGTCCATATAAGGCTAAGTTAGGCTAACACCAAACATGCAAAATAATACAAGGCAGAGACGGAAGGAGCAGCTTGTTAGCATCATGGCTAGCTCTAATGTTAGCTTGTGTCAGCTACTGAATGATCTTAAATGATTTGAATTAAAAGACAATGTTTTAAGACATTGTTTTAGGTTTAATGTCAGAAAGATACTTTAAACTACCAGCAATGGACTACACTGATAGCATTAACGTGAGCACCTCTAAAACTGATCTTACCTTCAGTATTATTTATAACAGACTCTGCAGACTTTTACTAGGATGCTCTTTTAAATACCATTGCACAATATTAAACACTCAGGTGGCTCCTTTTAGATACAAGACGTCAGTTCCAGTGGTGTCAGTTTATTGTAAATGCTTTGCCAAAACAAAGTTCTGCTCCTCATATGACAAATTACTCACCAAGACGCTCAGATCAGATCCTCTTTATGGCTCATTTCATATCAAGGGAAGCTGCTAAAAAGCTTTTCTGATCAAATTAAGTCAATTGTAAAGTTTGTCAGCATTCTGCTTATCTCATCTTAAATTGCCTGTCCCATGTTTATTTATGGATGGACCCTTTATCTTTTGATTGTGCTTAGTCTGAGGTTGTAACTCTCTCCGTTTGTTCTGTTTGTGTTGTGACTTACTGTGTTGTTTGTTTGATTATTTGCTGGATGTTTGTTTTGTCTCAACTGCTCTGTTTCCCATTTGTTTGGTGAGTCTTAGAAATGAGACGATACATCTCAAGGGGTTTACCCGGAGATAATACATCTCTGACAACACTAATGGCAGCATCGCCTCTCTGTCGCTGCGTGGCTGCCTGACACTAGTTCCTCAAACTAGACTCAAGAAAAGGAAATGTTTGAATCTGTCAGGTGACCGTTATTTGTAAACGTGGCTGACAGCGTTTTGATTTTGATGCTGGGTTTGGTTCCAGCTTGCCACTTGATTGGTCACGGGCCAAATGACAGCCGCATGTTATTTATCCAGCGCACTGAAGTGTCCAGCTGTCAGATCCACTGATCATGTCAGGTCACAGTGATAAGTCTGCTGGTTGTGAGTGGACAGCTGCAGTCCACATCCAGGATAAGCTGTGGCAACTCTGAAATGTGTCTGGTGCCTATAAATTGTTTACATTGGGTCCATGCACTTGCAACACAATCTGAGCATTTATCCAACAAGAAATGTACTTGAGCGATAAAGGAGGTTATTTGGCAAATGTTGTGAGGTCACTTTGCAAGTTTAGGAGACAGAGGCAGTGTTAACAAGATCACTGCTAGTTATGCTTCACTATTTAAACTATCAGTACAGATTTACACAGGCACATGGCAGGACTGCTTACTTTCAGCTTGACAATCACCAAGAAACCCACGGTTGCACTTGGCCTTAGGCCCACTGCTACTGGATGTTTTAGGCAGAATAAGCACCAGTGAGAATTTTTGTTGAGGACAGTTTGGATATTGTCCTATTTGTTGTTTTGATTGTGGTTTTCTAAACCATATGCCAAATAACATGAGATGTAGTGGTTCAAAGTGATTGAAAATACTAAGTTTCACTTTGTGTAGACAGTCAGGGTTCTGGTAATCCTGCGTAACTTTCACTATTGCCTTCCCTTGTTTAGTCCTGCATGTTCCACTGAGGTACAGTTGGAAAAGTTATTTCTTTCCACCATATTCTTACCAAAATAGTTGACTTGAACTTGGAAACATTCACTCCAACTCTGACCAGATGCTCACACATGGCAGAATAGCTTTAATGTCAGTGGCGTGTGGTGTAGTTTTCTTGTAATGTCAGTGGTGGTATCTAAAACGGAAATGGAACTGTGAGTTGTTGCATGGGGTGATCAGATCACCCTACTCTGCTGATGCATTTTGATGTAACATGTGATTCTTGACCAGCTCGGATTAAAGCTACAGCTACTTTTATAAAAAAAATAACTTTTTTCATATTTGCTGAAATGGTCTCTATAGTCACACAGCACTTAATGAGACAAATCTGTGGAGAAAAAAAAAACATATTCCTCTGCCTACTCTGTTGCCTTGTGGCATTTCTAAGAGCGCAGGAGTCTCAGATGCAGCTGTCAATCATGTCAACCACCGCTTGTTAACTGCGGTCAAGCTAGGCAGCACTGATCAAATATGAATCAAGATTTTGTTTGTTACCGCATCGCCTATTTCTCACCTCAGATGTTGGATACAGTTAAACGGGAGTACCAAGCACTGCCCACCAGACCAGACTACATTCTCATTTTCCAGCTAAACAGTCACAAAGATATGTTTGTGAAAACACTGGAGGTGAGAAACAGAATCTTGATTCATATTTGATCAGTGCTGACTAGTTTGACGGTTTGATCATAGTTCATGGGGCAGTTGACATGATTAACACCTGCATTAGACACTCCTCTGCTCTGACTGGTTGTTGCTGACTGCACTGCGATCTGGTTCTAGCAAATGCCATGAGAAGCAGTCAGAGGGGGGAGTAGGGATATGAATTTTTGACTATGTCTCTCATGTTTTTTTCTGACAATATTTTTACCGTCTTAGCAAATATGACACAAAGTTACTTTCATAAAAGTTAGCAACTGTAGCTTTAAAGCTGTAGTTAGTAACTTTTACTGCCTCCTCTTTGTACTTCTAATAGCATTTGCAAGAATCCATTGCACTTGAATGGAAGCAATCATTCAGAGCCGAGGAGTCTCGAACGCAGCTGTCTATCACTGCTCATGAACTGTGGTCAAACTGTCAAACTCGGCACAGCTGATCGAGTATGAATCAAGAGTCTTTAACCGCATTACCTATTTCCCACCTCAGATTTTTTATAAACATATCTTAGGACGCATTCACACTGCAGCTATTTGGTCTGCTTTAAACGAACCCCTGTCCGCTTCCACGGATAGTTTGGTAAGTTTGGAGTGAACGCTCATTTGAACTCTGGTGCGGACCAAACAAGCGAACCCTGGTCCTCTTGAAAACTGGGGGCCTCGGTTCACTTGCAAGTGAACCCTGGTGTGGTTCACTTACAGTGGGAAATGCACACGGACTATCTAGCGGACCAAAGAAGGGAAGTGAACCAAAGAGAGGAAGTGACGTAGAGCGCAGTGCATTTTGGTGTTTGGTGTTTTTGTGGTGACCAAGCCGGCTGTTTTTTCGGTCCTGGCCAATCGATGAGCCGGGTTTTCTTCTTCCTCATGCTTTTTTTCTTCCTCGTCAGTGGTCGTTTTGGGCAATACCGCCCCCAAACGAGCAGCTGTCGGAACGGCGTGACATTGCCCAGGCGGTTTGGTCCACTTTAAAAAGTGCAGTGTGAAAGTGAACCGAACCAAATGAAGGTGTGAAATTTTTCGGCATTCCCCGCCCAATCGAACCGAGTCCCCCAGGCTATCCTGGTGTAAATGCGCCCTTAGTGTACTGTTTAGCTGTAAAATGAGCATGTTTGTGTCACGACCGCCATGTTGAAAACAATCAAGCGAAAACAAAGCATTACCAAACACTGCCCACCAGCCGTTGCAAACTTTCTTATTTTACATTTGAGGTGAGAAAACGGCAACACAGTAACAGAATCATAATTTATATTTGATCGGCACTCCTTGGCTCTGATTGGTTGTTTTCCAACAGCTATGGTCGATTCTTGCAAATGCCATTAGAAGCACTACCAAGAGGAGGAGGAACATGATTTTTTTCACAGAAGGGAAGGCGAAGGAACAGAATTAAGTTACCATATGTAGCTTTAATGCAATGCAACGGTTTAATTATCCAACATAAGGGCAGGTTTCTATGCTGAAAGTGTGTTGTGAACATGACCCGCAGAGGCTGATCTTGTTGTGTGATCTCGGTGGCGTCAGGTGCAAAGCTTCTCATTAAAGTGAAAGCGTAATAAATGCTGAGCATGGAGTTGAATTTTAGGCTCTCCAAGCGTGTGGATTTATACTTGGAGAGGGTCATATGACAGCCAAAGCAAGATACATGCATGCCTAAAAAAACCTGTTGATAATGGTGTGATAACTAAAGATTTACTACCCTTTTAACACACTACTCAAGAATATGAGGGTGTGCTTCTGTTGCAGAAAGAAATGCACGATGGAAGAGTATGTAATGTGTTCATAGATGAAATCTTTCTTCTCGGTACAACCCAGGCGCCAAACTTCACCAAACAGACTGTGAACATAGATCTCAAGTCTGATCTTTCTCTTGTCTTCCGTCTGCTGTGAAAGTACAAGAGATTAAAGTTCACGCAGGGAGTTATCTTAACTAGTAATAAAACTTTGCAGTACAGGAAGCTATAATGACCGCTAACTGCTGAGGAGATTTGGGAGGAGGAGGAGCTGCGAGCAGAACGCTATTTTTAGATATGTCAAATTCTGCTATAGTTTCACCTTCCAGTGTTCCTTCCAGTAATTCATGAGGGTTAAATATTAAAAACTCTGCTGTTGTTAAAGACACATTGTTCCCCTGTTCAGTGTGGCGATAATACTTACAATGTCTTCCTGTGTTTTTTTTTTTGTTTTTTTTACAGCATTCATTCAGTCAGACACAATTCTAGAAGTTTTACATTTTGGTGAGGGAAGCCTTTTACAGGTAAGTGCTGTTACTTTCTTTTCCTCTCTGAAGTTGAACCGTTACTCACCACAGAAGCAGAAACAGTCACACCATTATAGGGCATGAAAAATAAGGCCATTTCCTTGGTTCACTGGTGATCTCTGAACGTAGTGGTCCTTTTTTTTTTTTGAAGAGAAAAAACGTTGCCACACAATTATTTTATCAATCATTAACAGTAGTTGGGGAAGTAACTAATAAAAAAAGGATCCATGTTGAATTTTAGTGATATACAGTTCAGCACGATAACATCAGCAAACTCTTCTGTGCTAGTTTCCTCTATAAATTATAGTCATTCAACTTTGTTTAACTCAATATTTCACTCACCTGCAGTGATTTTGACTCCCCAGGGTGGCCTGCCCCACAGTTTGAGAACCACTCTCCTAATGTAATAATGAGTTAAAACACATGTAGATAATTGCTCATGTCTCTGTTCTTTTGCAGGCAGATTCTGACATTGATTTTAGTTTATATCACCAACAAAGGTATGTTTTTATGTTTTGCTTCAGAAATATCCATCTCTCTTTTGCTGCAAGTACTTCATGCATGTTTATGTAGTTGAGTGTCATTATTTGAGTGTAGGTGTAGTCAGGTATGCAAGTGCTGTTGTTACCTGGATTGCATACTTATGCTAGTGTTGCTGGAAGGGGAATGAGGTCTTGAACTGAACTGACACAACACAACAGCACACCTAAAGTGGAAATGGAAACGTTTTCTTTTCCGTGACACCAATGACACCATCTGTATTTAAGGTTTGTTTATATTAACACAAGATACAGTGGAGCGGGACTCCGTTGATTGCATGCTCGTAAGCATACATAGAGGTGTTCATGCTCGACGCGTTGTTTGTTGTGATATATTCTGAAATGTCAGGGGTGTATAAACAAAATATTCTGTCGATAAGCAAGAAGTTGATAAGTGTTATGAGAAGAATGTTACTGGAGAAGTAGGCTGCCTGGCAAGAGAAGTAAACACCAACGTAAAAGCCTCTTCTTTCCCCAGTGTGGTGGCGATTTCTTTCCAATAATTTACCTCTACCATCCCTGTGGTCTCATTATTAAGAGTCGTCATTAGAGATCATTGTACAGGCAAACTTGCTCAGCGAGTCTTCCCTCAAAGACATCCCCGTTGAATTGACAAGCCCAGCGCACGCAGTTGGCGCCAATTTCAAAAATTCAGAGGTGTGTGACCAGGTGTGACAACTCTTAGAACCTTGATGCTCAACGAGCAGGCACTGATTTAGTCATTTCTGACATGCAGAACTCACGCCAGGGACTCAACGGCAAGTACAAACCACACTTTAGATTTAGATTAAGCTTTGCTTTCACTAGATGTTTCTGTCTGATGCTGGTTACGATCTCTGGGGAATGAAGGCTCGAATTATGGCGCAAAGGAAGTGCATCACACAGGAAGAAGATAACACTTTTCCCCCCAGTAGCTAATGGTAGCTATCTTTAGTTACCAGAAAGTATCAGTGTAAGTTCTTTGCAGTTATTGTCACCTGTAGCGGAAATGGTTGACGGCGAAACAACCAAAGTAACTGTGGGATGCATTATCAGTCACTGTGGTCATGTTAACAAGCATGTACAAAAAGTTGTTTTGGTCGAGGCTAACGAACCTAGGTCTGCGTTTTTTTTGTTTGCATCTGCCTGGCCGCAAAGTATCAGTTAACAACCAAATATGAAAAGCTTGAGCACCATACTCACGAGATAACTTGAAGCCACATTAACATGTTTGGTTGATAGCATGAAATCAGAATCCAGTTTAGGATGTGGTTTATTGCCAAGTTGGTTTAGTAAAACTAAAATGAATGTGCAGTGCATTTTTTAGAAGTGGTAGTTTGTGCATAAATGTTCAAAACTAACAGAGGTGCAGAGTATGAAGAATGAATGTATAAAAATAATGTCCATAGCACAGAGACGTACAGATATGTGCTGATGTTAAATCATTTAGAGAAAGCAAGATGCAAAGATCTGTTTCCCCTGAGATACCCATACCCATACAACCCCCTCGGCTCTCTGAAACGTACTGGTTGTGACACAAGTCGTCAGGGAAGCTGTTCAGTCTGTGTCACCTGTTGCTCCACCAGACCACAGTGTGCCTCTGTACTGCCACAGCGACTTGGAAGAGTTGAGATCTGGCAGGGCAGACTGCAGAGACAGCCAATATGAGTTTGACAGTTTGTACCCACACTGACAGGGCAGAGTGGAGCAGAGCAGACAGGCAGATGGGTGTGTGTTTTTATTACTTCAACCAACGGAGCGCCACTTCTGCTACTGACAGCCGTCCCTGGTTAGGTCACATTGCCTGTTAGTCGAGGATCGCTCAAATGCCTCCAGACAAACATGACTGAGTGAGAGTGAGAACTATAGTAGCTTTCTAAGAACCGTACAGAGTTCACTGAAATGCTCAGATACGGCACAGATTTTGCAGTGTGTGTCTTAAATGTTTGACCTGCTGGAAAGGGCTACGTGGCTCTGTGTCCAACAGGTAGAACTGCCTGAACAAGTACACACTGTTTTTGAGGCAGCAAACATGTACAGCACAGTTGACTTATTAACATCATGACGTTCACATATAATCAATACTCTGTCCTTAATTGTCCCTACACATGTGTCTCAGTTCAGCATACAACAGCAGGCCTTTACTGTTTGTACAGTATGTTCTAATCCATAAAAGGGTTATCTCCCACAGGCATAGCATGACCGCTCCCTAGAGTTAGGGGGGAGGAGGGTATTTTGCTGTTTGACTGTGTTGTTTCAGGTTTTTCAAATGTTCAACTTCCCCTTTTCCTCACTGTGTGTGTGTAGTGTCTGGGAACTGTTGGGTGTAAATTACAATCTCTTCTTTATATTCAGTGTGCTCCTCTCACTCTTCTGTATAGACAGTTGTCAACATGGTAGTCACCACCACAGGAATTTATTTTCACTGTCACTATGTTTTCTTTTAATGCACTGGTATTAAGGTTAGCCTGACACTGGGCATATGCCGAGCTGAGGCCAAGAGGCACAGCCCTCCTCATGATCTCCCCGGCTCCTCCAATTACACCCTGACATTCAACACATTAGCTCTGAAGCGCCGAGCGAAAGGCCGCGCAGAATTCACAGCCAGGATCCATCCGAATCCTTAATCCCGCAAGAATTTTGTCAGCCGTTGTTCTATTAACGGGAGAAGCGAGGACAGACTGCAGATGACAGATTATCCAGGAGGAACAGTGCATGGCCGGGGCTCTGTCTGGATTACTGTGCGCCTCAGGGGTTGGAAATCCATCCCGTCTCCTGTGAGCTCTGCTATTGGAGTACGCTGCTGCAGCCATTGTCTGCTCCCATACTCATAGGCCTGGTAGTAAATAGGTGAAATTGATCTCCGGTTAATTGTCTGACTCCAGGGTGATATTAGCGCAATTGCATGTGAGTGGTGTGTTAGTGGATGGCATTAGGTACCACCACATCTATCCTGGTGCGAATACCATAGTGAAGGTATGAAAGATTTCAGCTATAGCGTTTCTTTGCAGGTAATTTTTTTCTTGGCCATCTTAAAGGGAGAGTTCACACCAAAATCCAAAATACATACGTTCCAGATTGTGTTGGTGTGAGTGTTGTAGATACCAGTTGTAGAGATGTCTGCCTTCTCTCCAGCGTAGTGGGACTAGATGACACTCAGCTTGTAGTGCTCCAAGTGCCAAAAATTACATTTGAAAAACTCCACAGCAGTGTCTCTTTCCAGAAACAATGACCCTGTTACTATAGATAATCCACAGACCTTGTTGTGAGCAGTTTAATGCAGGAACTATTTTCTGTCTACCAAACTGCACCACTGCGCAGAAGGAAGAGTGCATCTACTGCTAGCTCACCTAGCACCACTGAGCTAGCTCACGTTAGCCTCAGCTGAGGAGGACTATTAATATTTACATCTCGTGCTGTCATGAGCACAACTGTCTTGTCCATGAGTAGATGCACGCTTCCTTTTGCATGGCTATACCGTGGATGTATGAAGTGAATTGGACCTTCCAATCATTCCTATGAAGTTGCTCAATGGTGCTTGAAGCCAAAGAAGCTCAGTGTCTGTGGTATGATATTACCCGGATCCTCTGCGTGTTTGGGCCCATTGAGCAGGCACGTCAGAGACATTTTTGCAGCCAAAGGCAAACTTCCGGTTTAGCCTTCTGCTAACTTGTGGAAAAGTTGTTTCAATTGTGCGGCTTTTCTAGACTTTTTAATGTTGTCGGACCAGGTGGATCAAATCCTGATAGTGAAATGAGTCATTCACAGGAGTTGTGACACTTAAAAGAAGTCTTCTTCTTTATATAAGTCTAGAGCAAAAGTTCTTATCAGGCCAATGGCGTCATGTGACAGATGCAGAAGTTGTAATTCTTCGTTTGGCCAATATGTAAAAGTGGCTTCAAAGCCCTGCACTGTTCCTGGAGGCTTGACAGATACAGTTGGCACAGGTATAGCAAGGAAATATTTCCTATGTAAAACAGCTCACAACGAGGTCTGTGGATGATTGAACAACTAGGTCATGACTTCTGGAAAGAGACACTGCTGTTGAGTTTTTCAAATGCATTTTTTGAGCAGCACAAACCAAGTGCCACAACTGCTTCATATTCTTGGTAAACAGAGCATGTGACACTCAGGTGTTTGCTTTTCAGCCATCAAATCACATAAAGCTCGGTTATGTGCCACGCCCGCATCACTGATGAACTTCTCTCCCTCTCTGTGAGATTTACATAGAGGCTCTCATTACACACTTTCTGTTGTATTTTACAAAGAGGAGTTGGTTCTCTGCAGGGACGGCCGTATCTATTGTTAAGTTACACCTGTTGTGGAACAGGTTTGGTGAGTTATGAGCGTGTCCTCATCCAGGCGGGTGCAGCCGATGCTCAAAAGTAGTCGACTTTGTGTGAGAGAAACACCCAAACACTGAAGGCTACAAGGAGAGATACGCGTTTGTTTTTTTGGTTTGGTTTTCTTGTCCGGTTGATTTATTTTTTGTATCTATGGATTTTCATGGAGATTTTACATATGGAAATATTGTGCCCTATATGGGAGTGGTCCCATGGCCATCTTAATGCTTTGTTAAAAGAGCCTGGGCACAGACTGTGGTGTCTGTGCTCGTGTGTTGAGCCCCTCAATTGTTTGAAATGCACATAAACATGGATACTGTTTTTCCTGTCCTGCTGTTGCTGCTGTTGCTGCTGTCAAATTTTGATGTCTCTCACAGCACGTCCCCGCACCGTGGGAACTGCCGCCCTATACGATTTGAACCTCCAATGTTGGACTTTCATGAACAGTGAGTCTTTAATATTTTTCTCCAGTATTTAATTATATATTTCTTTGTATAATCTGTGTTTGCTAAGTTGCTTTTTTGACATGAAAAAACTCATCAACTCGAAATATTAGATCAGAAGCAATCTGATAAATTACAAAACATTTTCAAAACCAAATGCATAGTTTACAGACTGCTGCTTGTACAGTGTGTCCTGTAACTCTTCATAATGTCTCAGCACACCATTTGAGTTACTCCAAGGTGTGTAGCTTCTGCCTGTCAACAGTCTATGCATCACCGAATAAGCATTTGACTCCAACAAATAGCTTCACCTGCGGTAGACTTAATAGATCACATTCCACTCTGACAGTGGGTGCACACCCATGTAGCGTGACCCAGCTTCAAGTGTGGCCTACCCGAACAGGGTGCAGAGTGCAAACGATTGAGCAGCTCTCAGAGGAGCGGGGTCCCCTTACATTAACTCACAGTGAGAGACCCAGCTATCTCAGCCTGCCCTCCCCTGTCCTACTTCCTCAATAAACAATTCACTTATCAGCCGTGAATGTTTTGAGGGCATGAAAATGAAACCTTGAGAAATTCTCACCCTGTCTCTAATACACTGGAAAGGAAGGCACGGTTGGATTAGAGGTCTTAAATAAATCAGCCTATAGAGGCTCAACTCTATATGCACTTCATTTAAGATATTAAGATGATGGACATGTTTACGTATGTCTTAATTATGTTGGAGGAACCAGACGTGCGTCGTTATCCACCTTGTTTAAAGGACAATACAGGTGACTTTTCAGGTTTAATCAGATGGCCTAGAAACAATCCATCACCATGAACATGTCATGGCTTTTGTCCTTGAGCCAGAGTTACTTCTTCACTGCATGATTTTGTATTTTTGAGAAGGGAGATTCAAAAACTTTCAAGTCCCTACAAGTTGATTTTATGTCTTGTTGAAATAAAAACCCACAGGCTGCCTGGAAGGTAGGAATCAAAAAGTATATGACGTGTGTGAGATGCTGCTTAGCAGTAATGTAAAGTACAACGTATACCTTAGATGGGTTGTAACATGCAGAGCTACTTGTACGGGCCTTTACAATAAATTAGTAATTCGGGTATGGTAACCCAGAGGAATGTCAGATATCCAAGGGAGGTTACATCGGAGTGTCTGTTCATATGTTCGGTGTTTCCCCTATATGGATTTAGCAGTGCCAGAAATAGTTTGAAGGCTGATCAGACGACAGAAAAAACATTTCTCTACACACACCACTAAAATAGCTTCACCAGTTCTGACAAACTGTAGCTCACACTGCACACTCGCTGTTACATTCATGGTTTACTGCTAGCCTGATGCCTTACTTGCCTGTCCCGACTGCAGACACACCGTCACTTTCTCCTCGCTTGCCGTACATACAGCACTTACTGCATCTGTAGAGGCTGTGATACACGCCGCTGTTTTCTGACAGTGTTTACATTCAGCTTTGTTTGGTCCTGTATTGTGCCCAGACAACCTACATGACATCTATTTGTTTATCCCAGCGCTTTCTCATCTGCGTTTCTCCAGAATTTGAATCTGTTTTAACAGTCAGTTGTTTTTCTACAAGCAGTGTAAGAGTCACAGTTTTGATTGAAACACTAGAAGGCAGCAGCAAGAGTGACTTTGACAGCATATGGGGTAGTTATGAGAAGTGGCATCCACAAGTGTGTATATGTATGTGTCTGGAGCCCTTCTCTTGATAGCGGGTGCTAACAAAACCCGCTAAAACCCGGATTCTTCTAATATCTGGGAAAGATTAAAATCAGCATTCACACCTGAGTCAAATGACTCTGCGGTAGTCACAGGCATTTATCGGCTCCGGCTCTGATCTGCATTTATGGAAACATCTGGGTGAGGATGCTAATTTTAGCCCTTGTACTGGTGAGATGCAGTGATACCGTCTGTCTCAACACTTTAATATTAATCTACATTAGTCTGCACATTTGTCTGAAAGAAAGACTAAATAAGTATGATGGTTACTTCTTTTTATATATCTGGTTTTGGTTTGATGGCAATTGCAAAGGAGTCTATTGCCTTTTTTAGCGGGTTTCCTGTGTTGAAAAAACATGTACACGTGCTAATTTCAGTGGAAAAGGAGTAGGAGTATCCTCTAGCAGTGCAAAATAAGTGCATTGTGGCTAACTTGCTCTTACAAATGCTTCTTTTCTTTGTTTTCAGGCCCGTTGGAATGCCAAAAATGGAGAAAGTTTATTTACATAATCCTAGCTCAGAAGAAATTAGTTTGATATCAATATCAGCAACAACAGCACATTTTCACGCATCCTTTTTCCAGAATAGGGTAAGTACTTACTCACTCAGAAACATAACATTGATTTGGTTTTTTGTCACAACAAATCTAATACTTTGAAAATACAGATTTTTCTGTTGTTATATAAAAAAAGCAGTTCCCTTTGTCTTAAGTCATGTGGCGTGTGTTGATCTCACCCTGTTATTTGATAATCATGCTTCATGTAGCATTTCTTTCAGTGTGATAACTTGGCTTGATTATTGTAATCAAGGGACTAATCAGAAAACACAGTGTACTGAATCCTCCTGTCTTTTAGTAGTAGCAGTCAGGGCCCTTCTTCAAACACCAACAGCAGAAGTGTAAACAGCAGCATACAGACACTGACGATAAAGTGGGAAGTCCCCATGCAAATCATGAGTCATTAGAACATGTGACCACACCAAAGAAATGAAAGGCAGCGCATAAAGAGACAGTCCAAACACACAAACACACAGTAAACCAGACTAGGGACTAGACACAGTTATTAAACATGACACACACTCTTCATTGGCATTTATTAGAAGACACTGCACAAGTCATTTAAACCCACAGGATGCAGTGTCCCAGGAGGATGGGTCCAAAATAACTGACATTGACGTAAAGGGCCTGTTTACCTCATGCGGCTTCTTCCTGTTTTTGTTTATTCCATCTCCGGTTTTATCTTTTAACCTCCAGTTGCTATTGACAGCTCCAGTACATACGAGTAAAAGGTTCTTATCAATTCACACAAGCTACTGTATGGTTCTCAAAGTTGGGAACACATGGCCACATTTATGAGGACACCACCGCTTATACATTGGATTAAATAATATGACCTCTGGGGCGACGTCTAGCTCACCCAGTACAGCGTGTGTCCCATCTAGATGTAGGCTGAGTCCTTGTTAGCAGTCAGGGTTCGAATACGACCCGTGACCCTATTCTGTGTGTTACTATGTGTGCTGCTTTATAATAAATATGATCTTTAGCACCAAGTTCAGTGTTTGCTTACGACCAATCTCAGAACCCATCGGATGTCGGTCGGACAATGTTTTAGCCTCTGGGGGCTGATTTTTCAGGGGTTGCAGTGTAGCCGATGTAGCTTCTTCTTCTGTGTGCTAATCATTGTTTACAGTCAGATTATCAACTTTTTGTAGATGTTTTAGGTCCAGACGACATTTAGGTGAATCTTTATAAACAGATATCTGCATATAAATGGAGATCATTTAAAAAACACTTTAAAAAAAACCCAACTAAATTCTTGTCAGATGGTTTACGAGATTTTGATTTGGCCTACGCGTCCCGCCTCTTTTGCTCTACACACAGACTGTTTACCAAGTGAATCACAAGTTAAATAATGTTACGATTTTATACTGAGTCTTTGGATAATGACGTGATATTTGCTGATATCACAGACTGTCACAGTACAGTTTTGATTCAGATCAGGTGCTTGTGATCGATATAAGAGGATAACAATTAATATCTTTGTCTTTTTCTTGGCTGTGTGCCATTGTCTCCTTGGCGCTAGGCCGCTAGCACTGTTTGAATGTTTAGGAAGGAGGCACACTTGGACGGAAATGGTAATACAGACTTGCTGAGGTGAATCTTAAAGATGACGATATGTATCAGTGTTTTGACTTTGCATCAGTGCTGTTTGATTGTTGATCATTGAATCGATGCATTGATCCAGATCAATATATTGTTACATCCCTACTGTTTTAGTGCAGACATTTAAAACTAGCTCAAACATGATTAGTCAGTGCTACTTGGACAACAACACAATCCTTTAGATACCAAAATCTTGTTCCTGTTGCCGACAGATTCTGCATTCATAGGCGCCAATCACACAGAAAGCATTTTGCACCACCCCATCACCTACTTACCCTAACCTTCCCATGTAATAAATTTACCATTTAATTTTTTTTTTTTTTCACAGTTATTAGTAGTTCTAAAATGTTGAGGCTGAGGGTACCTGCTGTAGCTCTGGTTGAGGGTGAGAGGCTGTCAGCAAATAGTTTGTAGGGCACAGGGAAACAGAGATCTGAGTGGGTACATGAGACCCTAAAAAAGAGGGTGGATCATGGGGAGTACCACCAGTTGGTCCAGGAGCTTCTCCTCAGTGATGGCTGTTTCATGTACTGCACTTATATGCTTCCAAGCCTGTTGATAACTGCAGTTTGTAGTCACATAGCTCTGGGTATCCAGATCTGCGTGGGTACATTAGAGCCTAAAATAGAGGGTGGATCATGGGGAGTACCACTAGTTGGTCCAGGAGCTTCGCCTCAATGATGTCTGTTTCAAGTACTGCACTTATATGCTTCCACGCCTGCTGATAACTGCGGTTTATAAAGTCATATAGCTCTTTGTATCCAGCAACCGCTACCACCGTTTTCTCTCAAATCATCTGATTAGACAATGGGAAGAAAGTGGAGATGATGTGGTGCACTTTTCCGCTCTGCGCATAAGTTTAATTCCCCTTAAAAACAATTACAAAAAGCCACTTCCAGCTGCTAAAGAGCTTTCTGTATGATCAGGGCCATAGGCAGATATCTGTTTTGAGAGACTGTCATACAACTAGCTGAACTCGCTCTGTGCTGCAGCAGCTATTTCTATGATGAAAATGGTCTGAACAGCTCTGATCTAACTTATCAGAACAAAATAGAATAATAAGCTTGTTATCAATAATCACTCCACGTCATGGAAAACTGGACTGTGCAGTGTAAGAGTGCAGCTAAACAAATGAGTCTCCACAGTGAAAATATCACGTTAACACACTCACACAGCTTCTGCCATGATGTCATATTATTACAAACAAATATATTACCATCTGACCAGTCACCATGACTGGTATGACAGAAAGCTGACCAGCTGATCCCAGAGCTGTGCACGGGAACTGATCTTATCAGCACTGCTACATAAATAGCTGTTGATGTTTGTCAGACTGCTGTTCAAGAAAGTCTTAAGTTCAAAGTTCAGCTTTAGCAGCCCTTCACTTTGTAGGTTACAGAGCTGGTCAGATATTTGATAAAGTCTAGATGCGAAGTGATCACAGGCAGCAGATGTCTATCTACACAACACACATGCCACTTTCAGAAGTTAAAAGACAAAATAGCGGCTTTGGGCAGGCATTAGATCAACAGGATAACAGCCTTGATTTAATTGTTGTTAGCAGCACTGTGATGCTTTTCCAATATATGTTTTTCATCAGAACGTATTAGCAAATATATCATGTCGTCTGCGCTGCATGTAAAGGCTGCTCTGACGGGAAAGACCTATCACTTATCTATCACTCTGTTTCTGCACACATGATTTACTTACTTAAGATCACAGAGTAGTTTAGGTCAATGTATAGCCCTAAGACGTTGATTATGTAAGATATGTCAAGAGGAGGATGTTTGTTGTTTGTGTTTTTGTCCAAGTGGTAATAGTTATGTCTCTGTAGGGCAGTAATGTGCATATCAGTGGTGAAAAATGAACTCAACCTCAGGACACAACAGTCTAGTTTACAGAGACATTCAGGAGGAAGGAATTCAGTGCTGGTTTGAAGATAACAACTTGAGGCCTATTGTCCTCTGTCATGAGATATGTTTGTATAAAGGCTTTCTACATTATGGTAGATAAAATCACATCTCCAGGGAGATTCTCCATTTCACAGATTTTATTTTTATTAATGACGTCATCAGGTTTTATCAGTTGAGTTCAAAGGGAAGATTTTGGATCTATAGCTTTGTGTGGTAGTTTATTTGAAACGTCACGTCTCTATGAATTATTGGCAACTTTAGGAGCAGGGATTACAGGTTGTTTGCAGTTTAGAGAGCTGATATGCGTTAATATTTGGTTCTGCAAGCACTCAGACTACCCACTCCTCTTGCCCAAAGGCATAGAGCTAATTTATCATCCTAAAAAACCTGATGGGAGAGCATACTGTGTGTGAAAGATTTATTTTGGACCCATCCTCTTGAGACATGCCATGCTTTGATTTAACATGGATGTGTTTTTCTTAAATAAATGCCAAATACATGTTCACTTTATTAGCTGCATGGAACCGATGCATACCTTTGAATCTATTTCTGATTATTTCGCCGAGCGTCATTTTTCACCAACATTCTTCTTTGCGCTCAAGCCCATATATAGTTGGAGAGAGAACAATCCCCAGAGACCTCTGCTGTGGTCACATGTTCCAGTGGCACACGTGTTGCACATCAGACCAAGTGACTGTCAGCGTTTTTTAGTTGTATCCCGAATTCATGATATTTATTAATACTTTGAAGTATACTTTTCTTATGCAGTAAAGTTTTATGTGCAGCAAATTAATGTGTTAAACAGTTGGAGCACAGCTGCCACAGAAGAGATTGGGAACTTAAAGCAAAATGTTATTCCAAAGATATAATACTTCTTCCTCCTAAGATGTTCCCAGAGTTGTCTCTTTCTCCTTTTATTAGTTTCCAGCTATGTGTCACTTCTCTATTTCCTGTGTGCATTTTAAACCCTATTCACACGGGACTAGTATTACCTGAAGGCCTGAAGTAATTTGAAATAATTGCATAGGTGGTCTCTCTGTGATCTTAATCCCGTGTGAATCTGCTGTGTAGTAAAGAAATTCTACTGCAAGTTACCATATTTCACCTAATAAAGACGTCATGCAAATCGGCATGTTGGTGATTTGGGGTTGCGTTTAGGTTTTTGTTTCCTTCACACCTCTTTGCCAGTCGACAATCACGGAAGCTGTTGTAGGGATTATTTTGTGGTGCAGGAGGCTCATCTTGCTACACAACATGGAGACCCATTTGCAGAAAAAGTGAGCTCAAATCAAATCTGAAAAGATGATGAAATGGATGATGTGACAATGTGTGGTAGAATCAGCTCAGTGTGAAAAGCTGCGTTTTACCTTGGAATGAACCATTTATATTTACATACGGAGCAGCTTCCCTTTTCACAGAGTTCGCCTTGTTTCTACAGTAGCCCTGAACAGACTGACCAAACACTGCTCTTGATAGGGCCATTTGCATTTTTGCCTAGGCCACCATAATTCCTCTATATGCTCGGCACATGGGAGAGGTTTCAGTTGGTTGCAATCTGCCACTAAGTCCTACACACTGGACCTTTAACCCACATTAAAAAAACAAGGGAAAAAAGGAGGTTAACACTGCACATCACTGCTAGTAATGCAGGGAATAATGTCAGTAAATCCCAGTAAAATACAACCTTTGCTTATCCTGTGCGAATGTGCTACACAAAACACAGACTGAGGGTATTTTCTAAATCATACAAGGTCCCCAGGTAATACTAATCCTGTGCAAATAGGGCTTTAATTATAGTTAAAAATCTCCTAAAAATGACACGAGTAGATCATCAATCAGAGGTGAAGCACGTGCAGTAAAGCACAGAACTCTGTGTACTAAAGATGCAAACACAAGATTATCTGTCATCTCTGTCAAGGAAACTAAACATAGATTGAAAAAGGTTTAGTGCATTTATAACAGCAGAGGTTTAAACAGTATTTCTGTTTTTTTATTTTTGTTCTGCAGCACTGTCATCATGGAAAGAACGACAACCAGTTTAATTATATTTCATTTTAACCCGAAAAACATGCGGAGGAAGAGGAATTAGATTGTTCTAAGTGTGTATAAATGCAGGATATATATGTTCACTTGTGAAACCAAACCCATGCCCCTGGGATGTTGATGAAAATGGCACAGCTTATATATAGTTTCCTGCTTGAAGAGGTTTCCTGACTGAAAAAACTTTCCTTGATAAATGAATAATGCACAGGTTAGAGTGTATGTTTCCTATTAGGCTTTATCTTTTTGCTCCTGCACTTCCACCAAGCCTTTAGCTGACGGGCAGTAAATTTCTCACGCCGAAGTGGCTGTTAAAAATGTTTTTAAAATCCCTCTGCCCTTTCACTCCTTCCACTATCTGCATTTTGAGACTCTCTGAACGTTCTGAAGCAGAGAAGATGACACAAGAAGATCTGTTCTGTTACATTCGTGCACAACATGATGTTTCAGTTTGTACGAATCAACAAGATACTCTTTCGGTCTGCAGATGTTCATGTTCGTGTAAACTAACAGGAAGGGATTCAGGGAACTCTGAGTCAAAACTCCACTCAACAGTCACCACTTGCAAAAACAGTCAAGTTAGAGTGTAGCTGTAATGTTTTTGTAGCAGCAGGTCTTTAAGGTCAGGTGTGTTCAGATGTTTCAGGCTACTAGCCCAGCTGTTTGGGGGCAGCACATACTGTAAACTGTATTCTGCTCTGTTGTACTGCACATCATGTTTAGTGTCCTAATTCTTTTCATCTGTTCTCTCATCAGATAATTCCACCAGGAGGGAACACGTCATTCGATGTCGTGTTTCTCGCTCGAGTAGTTGGGAATGTAGAAAACACTTTATTTATTAATACATCACATCATGGAGTGTTTACATACCAGGTACGGACTAAAATAAACAATACTTCATTCCTCTATAAAATGAATAGTGGAATTAATGTGACTCATTTTGCATCTCTGTCTCTGCCCTGAAGGTTTTTGGGGTCGGCATCCCAAACCCCTACAGACTGCGGCCCTTCATCGGGGCTCGAGTCCCAGTAAACAGCAGCTTCTCACCTTTAATAAACATCCACAACCCGTTCAGTGAACCACTGCAGGTAAAAAGCTCAAACTGTCGAATGTGCACTGATTTATTTTTATATCTAACAGCTGCTTAAAGGTAAAATTCACCACCTTTCATGTTAGTGTTGATGTCAAGTGAAGCACTAAATTCCTCAGTGCTTGCTATAGTGACAGGACAGTTGAGGTCATCCTTGGACATAAAGGCACTGCTGGCAACACTTCTGGAGCAGGAGAACTTTCTAGATTGGAGCTTCCAACTACTAACTATCATGTGAAATGATGGCGCTGGATGCACGAGGAACTACAGGCTGGATTTCACCCGTGTGACAGACGGCACTAAAAAACAGCTGCTGTATTCACAAAGCTTGCTTTTATTTCTTTTATGAGGACAACTCACATTAATCAACATTTCAATAAATGTGCCAGTGTTAGCCAGCTGTTTACTTAGAATTTCCCCTTAAAGTTAAGACTATGTCCTTTTAAAAATAAAAGTTATTCACAAAGCATCTTAGACCTTAAAAGAGCTCCTAAGGTTAAAAAACAAATCTGTGTTACTAGATTCTTACATTTTTTACATGTATCTCACCATAGCAAGTTGGAAGTTTACATCTTCTGCCATATCTGAAGAGGGGAGACTCTCTGGAATCTGGCAATATAAAAACCGTGATGGTGGGACATTGTGTCACTTCACAGTTGTCCAAAACATGTGGTTTGTGCCAGGTGGACAGATGACAGCATTTTTGTGCAACCCTGCATTCGTTGTGAAAACATTTGACTACCGACAAGTGCTTGGTCTTGTCAGAAAGCTGCGGTTCCGCTGTTTCACGTGATAGGTGTGGCTTCTTGCTATGACGCATGGTCGCGGAGAAAATCAATAGAACAGGTGTGAATTTGGACGATTCAGGCCCGTAGGGTTAAGAGGCTCAAGAGTTTCTTAATCAGAGGAGAAAATGGTGGAAACACAAAGAGGTCAGAGAAATATTCACCAAACACTGGAGAATACACACACATTTCCCACCTAACACTATAAAGCCAGAAATAAAATGATCACAACACTAAGATATTTGGAAAACTGGAAAAATGCAACTGTGCAGCAGTGATGACGTCTGACGTCTCAACCTTCCATCAGCAGAGTGATCACATGAGCAATGACAACACTGTCACAGTCAGCAGATCATTTCATTTCTACTACGTGTCCACACCTTACAGGCTCACAAAAGGGTGTGTCTGTGTCAACCAATCACGTGTTAAAAGAATGCACCACACCTAGCAACAGAGTCAACCGTACCTCCTCACTAAGGTAAAAGTCTCTGTCCCTTCCTCGCTCAGAGCTGCTTTTTAAACTTTCCTAAATCACCCCTAAGCTAGGACTCCTTACTAAAAACTTTTAGGCTAAGTTAGGAGCGCTCTGAGATTGTTCTGAGAATGTTTGTGAATACGGCCCCATTTTTATTTCAAAGATATGTTTCCAACAACAAATCATGTCATCCCAAAATATGAATGCAGAGGGATACATTTTACATGGGCAGTTTTTGCTGGATGCTGTTGCTGCGACAAAACAAGAGAAGACCCGTGTATTTGTTACTATGCATGAAAGTTTGACTCCTCACTTTGACAGAGGCGTATTGGAGACCTGGTTCCAGAATATGAATTGGAAAAGCCAACCAACACTAGTAGGACTGAGAGGGCAGATGACCAATGAATGAGTGTTTTTGTCACCTAGGGCTCTGTTTTGACTAACAATGTAATAGCTGTAGGCTATAAGCTAACCGCTGCGGGCATTGGCCTGTGTTGGCACAGCTGGCACAGCTCCACAAGCAGGAGAAAGCAGCTGCCTTTGTCAATACAGCACACACTGAGGAAGTTAAAGCCGTGACTGGACATCCAGATAAAAGGTGGTGAACTTTGCCTTATGTGTTGGCGGACTGATTTGATAGGTATGGGCTGTGTTCCCTTTTCTTGTCTTACTCCAGGTTGTTGAGATGTACTCCAGTGGTGGGGATCTTCATCTAGAGCTTCCCACAGGTCAACAAGGAGGCACTGGAAAATTATGGGTTAGTCTCAAGTCTCAGTGTGTTTGTTCCAGTGTTTGTGTTGAAGATGAACGATAGTCTCGGTCAGAGTTGAGTCACTGTCACTGACGCTGAGCTTCTGTCTCCAGGAGATTCCTCCATTTGAGACAAAGGGGGTGATGAGAGCCAGCTTCTCTTCGAGAGATGTCGACAACCACACGGCTTTCATCAGAATCAAAACCAATGCCCCCAGTGAGGACCAATTCATCATCCTCCCTGTAGAGGTGGAGGTCACATCAGGTGGACTTTCAAACCTTTGTGAATTTGTATCACCCACACTATCGTACATTTATTGTGGTACTGAATGTTCTTTTGTTTCTGCAGCCCCTGGTATATACTCCTCCACAGAGATGCTTGACTTTGGTACGCTGCGATCACAAGGTGAGGAGTCCTGCAAAAGAAGCAACATTTAATCTTTCTCTGTGCTTCTTCGCTCACTCCTACGTTCTCTCTCTCATCTACAGATCGTCCAAAACTGCTGAATCTACACCTTTTAAATTCAGGAACAAAAGACGTTCCAATTACAGTAAGTATCTGTAGGCGCGTCTTTATATCCTTAAACTGTTACCTTATCGCTCATCTAACTCCGTCCTTTATTTACGCTTCACAGAGTGTACGTACAACACCATCAAATGAAGCAGTCACAGTAGATTTCAAAGCAGTCACACTGAAAGCCGGGGAGAGCCGATATACCAAAGTTGCAAGTATTAGTTTTGACGGTAAGTATTGTTCTTTACTGTGGCAATATTTGACATTGTTGTTGATTCAAATATATATGATCGTTTTGGAGTCTGTAGTTTGTGATACTGTTGTATTTCATTATACTGACAGGTGTTTATATTATTGATATATTTGAGTGTAGGATAAATAGCAGACTTTTCAATTAGACTGCATTAGATTTAGCTTGGTGTACCTAATAAACTGGCAACTAATGGGCAAATTCACAAAAGAATTGTGCGGCTTTTGCGGCCATTGAACCTGCACAAATAAGACAAAAAGAAACCGTGTTACTGCGCTGCCAATCACATCGTGTCTTGGTGCTCCTGTGCTATTTGCATGTGTATAAATTTAGTCTATATGCATACATTTGGTGCAAAATCAACCCCTTTCTATGCAAATAAACTCCAAAAATGGTCCAGTTCACAAAATTGCAGTCACAGTGAAAGTATCAGCACCTCCGGATAGTTGGTGGCAACTGAAGCGTGTTTCTTCTGACATGTTTAAAGTCCCAGTGAAAGAGAAAGAGAAGTTAGAGCATCTTTGGCTTGTGTACTGTGACAGATTTCCCTGTGAAGTGGAACATTCAGTACAGATACAAGAGAGGTTTCAATCAAATCCTTCGTATTTGATTGGACCGCTAAAAAGTAGGCAGGCTTAATGTGATACAGATCTACAGGGCTGAATCCAAATGTCCCTCTGGACTTGCGGACTGAGCCGTCCAAACTTCAGTTGTACGTAGTGTGTCATATTCACCGTCATCACATAAAGTCTGCGAGGGCAGAGACTGCAAGCGGCTGATAGACAGCCCTTGAGACTTTTTTACCTGTTGCCGTGGAAACGTTCAACTATCTCTGCTGTCATATTCATATATATGTCGTATAAGTTGATGAACAGTGCCTACTCATCTGTCCCTGCAGATAACAAGATAGAAATACATCTATGGCCTTTTTTGTTACTGAACAAAAACATATTCATACGTCTCTATAAAACAGGCTACATGCTTTCAAAAACAGAAATGTGGATAATTAAACCAGTAAACTCTGCTGAAGTCTGCATCCCAAGCGGACTCTCTGGAAGCCTGCAGAAAGTCTGCACTGCCGGACTTCCCAGGAACGTGCCAACAAAGTCCGCAAGTGCGTTGAAGTCCGGACATTTGGATTCAGCCCAGCAGACTGCCGGCTCCACACACACCTCCCTTGCCATTAGATCAGGAAGAAGATGAGAGAGGGATGAATGAATTAGACCTCTGCCACGTTGTTTTGGAAATGAAAACAAAGGTTTTGCCCGCTGATATCTGAACACACATCTCTTCCTGTCTCTCTCCATATTTCTCTGTTAGCTGCTACAACCCATGAACAGTGAAGTGTGGGTTTATTTGACTGGTGTGACGAGCGAGTCGCCCAATGTCTCATCTGATTGGACTGTAAACGCCCAGGAGTGCAGGATGAGTCATCAGACTTGTAAAACAGATTTACCTGGTTTTACAGAAGGAGAATACCTCAATACTGATTTTTTTGACTTACATTTGGCATAAAACAAGAGATTAATGATCAGTTAAAACAGGATTAAAACTGGGAAAGTCTATTTTTCATTTCACTCGGCCTTTAAATTTCTTGCCTGAAGTTTTGAAGAATGCCTTCACACCTAGTTTTTTCTTTTTCTCTCTGCAGTTGCCTGCTGTGTACTTGGCACAAAGGCACCTTTTGACTCATTTATACTCTGCCACATGGATAATTGCAATCAGATGCAAAAAAAAAAAACAAGGGCAAATTTTAATCAGTTGCAAAACTTTATTGGCATATTTGTGCTGGTATATTGTCGGTGAATCGGACCTTGAGACGGGGCAGCTGATAGTGTTATCAGCAGCTGCAGCCATTCTTTGTGAATACACCCCAGAGTGTACATCTCATTTTATTCCTTAGTTCAACTCTTATCTTTTCTGCTTTAACATATTAATTCATATTAGATGTTTTTTAGGGAAATTTAATTGCAAACTAAGCCGTAAAAGTTAAATATTGTCAAAATTAAAAAACATGAGCTGCCATACGCCTTCACCGCTGCCTCCATCTGTGGGATTCAGACAGTTAACCAAAAGATCTTAACTGATGAAAGTGTAGTTGTTCAGAGTCACTTTAAAATAGTGCAGCTAGATGAACCATTTCCACTGAAACTCCAGATACAGTGCGAACAGCATGATGTCAATTTCCTCCTCTTGGTCTTCACCGGCTGACAGTGACACAAAAAGTAATCTGAACAAGTGTGTTAAACTTCCGTCTTAGACTCTCCTATTTTAACTGAATTTTAGGTTTATTCATATACTTGGGTGAAAATTAAAAAAAGGAATCAGAGGTCAGTCCCCCTTGTGTGTGTCACAGAAATGAACTGGTCATGCTATTCTTCAGCTGTGAGAGTTTTACATCATGTCCTTACTTGAGCACTTTTTAGTTAGCACAACTTCCTCTTGTGGGGCCGTGTATATCCTTTTTCACTGAACTTATCCGCTGTTTCGATCTTGTTTTTTTTTTTTTCCTTGCAGCTTCAAAAGCAAGAAGACCATATCAGTTCTCTGGTAAGATAACTGTCAAAGCGAAAGAAAAGAGTTACTCCAAGCTTGAAATCCCTTACCAGGCAGAAGTTTTAGATGGGTGAGTTGCTCTGTGGATATACATTGAAAGAGTGGCGTCATGTATTATGTATGTGATAAATGTTCCTAATAAATGGTCTGTTTCTGTTTGCCTGTCTTCTGGCAGCTACCTGGGCTTTGACCACACAGCAACATTGTTCCACATCAGGGACAGCCCCGTCGACCCAGTGGACAGACCCATCTTCCTCACAAATGCCTTCAGCTTTGCAATCCGGATACACAACGTGTCCCTGCCTGAAGAGGCTAAAACCATGTTTAATGTGAGAGTCAGCAGGATGAGTTCACAGAGGTCACTCAGATTGTGATGTGTGTGTATGTACAGAGGTCATTATGACATCACTTTTCCTCTTCTCTGTTTTAGGTGCAGAACTTCAGCGCGCCCATCCTTATTCCCCCACACGAGTCACGTTACATCTTCTCCCTCCTCTTCCGGCCAGTGCGACCCTCCATTCACATAGACAGCAACATCCTGCTCATCACAAATGCGTCCAAGTTTCACCTGCCTGTCCGAGCTTACACGGGCTTCCTGGAGGTACACAAAGGACACGCAGTTTATCTGGAAGAGAGCATCCTCTTTACGTGGAGCTAATTGACTTACATCAAAGTGGCACTGAACAAAGAGCAAATTAGTCTTATCAGAGACACCGGCGGTCTTTATCCTTCATACAACACTGCCCTACAGAGGTTTACAGCATCAACTGCTGAAGCTGTGAAGTGAAGAAAAAAGGGTTTAATGTTTTTAGGATAGCTGGCAAACTGCATCACAGATGGAACAGTTGTGATAACTTCATTTTAGTATTTTATGGTGACGGTATTTTAATCAGAAATGATTGCAATGCTGCCAACATTATACCCAAACATGCTGACATGGCACTCTGCCTTTGGATAGGGAAACTGCTATGGAGGATGAAAAATGCCATAGATAAATAAAAGAGCAAAGAAATGCTAAAATAAATATTTGCAGAGATTGGACCCTATTTATAGTACAGTCACAGAAATAAATAAATGTAGTACAAAAATGTAGAAATAATTTAAGATATTTATTTATTTATTTATGTCCTGTTTGAATTATCAGTATTTATTTATGTATGTATTTAACCATTTACAAGTTGATTTAAACTTTTTATTTATTTATTGTTTTATGAATTTATTTATTTTTAATTATTTGTTTATGCATTTATTTATTTCAGTTTTTATTCTTTTTTTGTTTTTACAGGATTAATTATTTTCCTGCATTTATTTATACATTTATTTATTTCAGTATTTATTCATTTTTTATAGAATTAATTATATTCCCGCATTTATTTATACATTTAGTTATTTCAGTATTTATTCATATTTTTACAGAATTAATAATATTCCTGCATTTATTTATGCATTTATTTATTTCAGTATTTATTTCAGTATTTATTCATTTTTTTACAGAATTAATTATATTCCCGCATTTATTTATACATTTATTTATACATTTAGTTATTTCAGTATTTATTCATTTTTTTACAGAATTAATAATATTCCCACATTTATTTATACATTTATTTATTTCAGTATTTATTCTTTTTTTTTTTTACAGAATTAATAATATTCCCACATTTATTTATACATTTATTTATTTCAGTATTTATTCATTTTTTATAGAATTAATTATATTCCCGCATTTATTTATACATTTATTTATTTCAGTATTTATTTCAGTATTTATTCATATTTTTACAGAATTAATAATATTCCCGCATTTATTTATGCATTTATTTATTTCATTTATTTATTTTAGTATTTATTCATTTTTTTGCAGAATTAATTATATTCCCGCATTTATTTATACATTTATTTATTTATTTTTTACATTTATTTTCATGGGGCATAAATAAATAAATATCATAAATTTATTTCTACATTTTTGTACAACTACATTTAGTTATTTCTGCATTTCTGTGTCTGTATGTTAATGAGGTCCCAGCCTCTGCTAATATGTATTTCAGCACGTATATATTCCTTTATTTATTAAGACATTTATTTATTTGTTTATTTAATTATTTATTGATACATGAGTCATTTTTTTTTTCTCCTCCATAACCCACTCTATCTCCTCCTAACACACGTTCCCTCAGGTTTCTTGCTCGTTTTAACTCGTTCTTTGAGAAAATAAACTTTATTCTGTATTTTTTGAACAGCCCATAGCTTCTGGGAACTAAATGTATTTCTGTTTTGCTAGGTGTCTGTCCTTTTACTATAATTTTTTATACCTAAATCAGAATAAGGAATTAGTTTACAATTTAATACATTTAAAACCTTAACCACACCACAGAATTGCATGAATTCCACTGGAGTCAAAAGCTCAGACGGCAGACTGAGATCTGCTAAGCTGAGAATGCAGTAACGTCACAACCAGAGTGTATCAACGATGGCTGTTAGCTCTGTCTTTTTATGGCAAAATGATTTGATTTACAGTAAAACAGAAGTCAAGAAGTCAGATTCAGGTCTTAACTAAATTTTGACCTCTTTTGCCTGTTGTAGGACAGAGTTGATGTCATGACTGTTAGTGAGTGTGTCTGTATAACGTGGTGTTTGTTTTTGTCGCCTGCTGTGAACAGCCTCTGGTCCTGCCTCCCAGTCTGAAGGAGAACATCCTGGACTTTGGCGTTCGCAGTGCAACAGACACCAGCAGCATCACATTTGTGGTGGTGAACAGTAATCCCATAGAGGTGAGTTCACGCAGCATTACCACAGTCATTGCTACAGCACACAATACAAGAAACAATAGCTGATTATGTAACAGCGGTCAGATTTTCTAGACAGTGATTCTTGGAAGGGAATTTAAAAAAGGAAAGAGGGAAGTTATTCGCTGTAGCCTCACACAGTTAGGTCCATTGTGTGAAGTGGTTTTACATGGTATTTGAAATATGCTGACTTGTGCCTTCAAATTTTTTGAACAGTTAAACCTGTTGCAACATCAGCCCTTATAATAACACTTGATTCCCCAGTAGTAGGTGATGGGTGAGCAATTTTAAGTACTGTCACAGCTTGTGACTCCAATTGTAGTGCGAAAATTCTGCACTTTTCCTTTCTGTCCTTTACAAACTGCTGTTTGTCCTCCAGCTGGAGATCAAGTCCTGGCTGGTGACAGGAGACAGCCTGTCCATGGAGCTGCTAAAGACAGAGAAAGGAAACACAACAGTGGCCCTGAGTCGCCTGAGAGAGCTGCAGAACACCTCAGCCTCCAATCACAAAACAGTACGTTTTTCTCAGACTCCAGCTGCTGTGAGAGGCAGCAAAACATCTTTTATTTTGATAGTCACAGTAATAAACTCTCCACGGTATGAACAGTGGTTACATGAACTTCAAAACCAGCCACAGTTCAGCCCTGAGCAGAGTGAGCGTCCTCTATTGACCAATCAGACTGCAGTGTTCACAGCTCCACCGTTTAGTACCAGATCTGTGTGCTAGGTACCCCAACAGAGGGGGGACCAAAAACAACTCAGACACCAACAGTCATCACTCCTAACTGTTTTCAGTAAATACAGAATTTGATTTGGGATCAGAAAAGATTCATGAAGCACAAAAAAAAAAGGTAGCATAGAGAAACAAAAGTAGAAGGTGATAAAACATCAGCAGAAATTGACAGACATGTTAAAAGAAGAAAGAGGTACTTTCTAGCTAACAGCTTCCTCATGATAACAATCTGCAGCCTGAGCACTTTGAGGTTTTTGCATTATTATTAAAAAGAGAAATGAAACTAACACATATTTTTGTCCCTACAAAGGTGATACTAGCATCTGGCTATTATGCAGCATTCAGAGTGACACTTGTGGCCAAGGCACTGGAGGGCACGTATGATGGAGCCATACACATAACCACAGACTATGAGGTAGGTAGCCGGTCACATCTGCTGTTTACTCTGTTCCCTCAAAGAAATGCACAAGCAGTTAGTCTAATGGTGACTTTCCTTTTCCCTCAGATATTAACCATCCCAGTTAAAGCGCTCATCGCTGTCGGTACATTAAACAGCTCTCCCAAGCACATCGTTTTACCACCTTCATTTCCAGTAAGTAACAAATTCATGAGTTAGATTTCACACCTGTACTGAGCTGGCAGCAAGCAGGGGATGAGATGAAATGTCACCTGCAGAGGCCACATTCCTGTGAAAGACCTGCGGCATTTTGACACTTAACATGTCTGTATTTGTGTTTTTGTCTTTAGGGGAAAATTGTTCATCAAAGCTTCAGCATACAGAGCTCTTTTACTCAGAAAGTGAGGCTACAGCAGATCCGCTCCCTGACAGAAGATATACGCTTCTATTAAAAACGGCTCCGCAACAACAAAGACGAGCTGGAGCCAAGACGTAAATCAAAGGTAGACCCTCATCTGACCGAGCAAAACATTAGTGAGCCACAAGTGTCCTTATAAACATGAACTTATTTTCTTTCCTCCATCTTTTTCAGGTGGCTAATATTTATTTTGATGCCAGCTTGCAGTGTGGTGATCACTGTTATGTGGGGCTGCCATTTGTGCTTAAATGTAAGTTTTTTTTTTTGAGTGTGTGTAACATTAAAATCTCGTGAAACAAGAGTCTACATTAAAAAATATTTTAACTTTCACAGCTGAGTCAAAGCCTCACGGGCTCGCGCTCCAGGAGGATATCTGGGATGCTGACGTCGATCTTCACCAGAAACTCCTCAGGCGATGGAAAGAGCTGAAAGAGCGCTCGGGCCACAAGTAAGCATGTTAAGAGTTAGGACATTATACTGTTAAATTAGACTGATGAATGGTTAGCCGTTGACATCCCACGTGTGGAGAAACTATCACTTATTTTGCTGTTCCTCCATTTACAGCAAACAGTTGTGCCCCAGTTAGCCTGACACTCATTAACCAGTAACTATCAAAAGCAAAAGTAACTGAACGAACACCCCTGCTCCACAACAGCAGTCTAATTACAGATGTTTTCTTCTCTCACTGAAGGATTGAAGCCGTCTTTGAAGTCAACACTGACCTGCAGAAAAATGTGCAGGCTAAAATAACGGCACACTTGACCTGGCCCTCACTGGTCAACTCCTCGCAGCGAATTACATTCCCTCTGACCAACACAAACAGCTCCTCTGTGAGTACAAACAAATCACCCGCCTCTTGTTAGCACATGTGCGCAAACACACACATGCAGAAACATCTTAAGGTGTTGTTAAAGTTCTGTGTTGTGAACTAACATGGGACATTTTTCTGTATTTCTGCAGGAGGAGGAGGTGATTCTGCAAAATCCAGCCGACGTCCTTGTCTATGTCCAAGTTCTCCCCCTGGCCCTGTTACCCAGCCCCTCTGTGTTTACTGGAAAGCTGGCTGACAGGTGGGAAATCTCCACAAGCCCAACATGTCCTTGCTCTTCACCCCCTCGTCTTACACTGACGATAATCATCTCTGATTTTATCTTCCAGGCTTCCATTAGCAAATTTGTCCAACATCAACATTGAAACAAACACCTTAGAGTTCCAGGTTCACAGAAATCAAGTGAGTGCTACACAAATTACGGAATTCAGAGAATCAGCTGGTTGACATATAATTGCTAATCACAGCCCTCTTGTCCGTGACGGAGGCAGCATGTGGAAGCTGTTTGTCTCTAACAGGCGCTCTGTTTGTTTGGCAGACATCCCTAATGAAGAGCAGTACAGGGTTTGTAGAGGGATCAACCAGACCCTTTGTGTAAAACCTCCTCCTGCTGCCCGGAGAAGTCAAGTCGTTCAGCGTGAGGTTCACTCCCACCAGCAACCACAGTGTCTCCTCCCTCCTCATAGTCAGGTACGTTTATTCTTTAATGGAAGTCAAACAGTCCCTGTAGTAAATTTCCCTTCTGACATTGTGCGCTTCACTGTTTAGGAATAACCTGACTGTGATCGACACAATCGTACTTCACGGCCGAGGTACGACGGAGAGCCTTAAAGTTGCAGGGAAGCCTCCGGGACAGGGCAGCTCGCTGAGGTTCAAGATGACCGAGGCGCTGCTGAAAGACTGCACAGAGAGTGAGTTCATGTTGCTGTAGTCTGATCAGTGTGACTGCGGGCCCAGTTTACATTCGCCATTTCATTTGTCTCGTATCCAGATGAAATCCAGATGCGATTTAATACAGTTTCATTTACACAAAGCCACATATACACTGAACAAATATGTAAACGCACTTTGGTATTTGCTCCCACTTTTTCACAAGTTGAAGTCGAACATGAAACACTTTTTTGTGCACACAAAATGCTTAGAGAATACTACGCAGGTGTGCCTTGGGCTGGTCATGATAAAAGGCCACTCTAAAATGTGCAGTTTAATCACACAACACAACACAACGCCCCTGTTTTTTTTTTTTTTTTTTTTGCACCCTGACGAAGACCAGAGAGTCGAAACTGGTCGGTATTTTTAATGTAAGCAGCCGTGTTTTGAAATAAAGGCTTCATTCAAACGCATCTGTTCCTGCTCCACGCACGAGTGCCTGAAGTTCATCTTTTGTTCCCACAATGTCACGGATGTTGCAGGTTTTGAGGGAGCGTGCCATTATCATGCTGACTGCAGCAACGTTCGCCTGAGCTGTTCCCCGTGAACTGAATGTTCATGTCACTACCATAAGATATCTCAGATGCTGTCTCCAAACCTTGCACATCAAACCGGCCTCACAACTGCAGACCATGTGTAACCACACTAGCTCAAAACCAGCGTCTTTACCTGCACGATGGTCTGACACCAGCCACCTGTACAGCTGAAGCAACGATTGGACAACAGAAGAATTTTTGTGCAGTCAGAATATGTCTCAGGGAAGCTCATCTGCGTGCTTGTCATCTTCAGCAGAGTCATACCCGACTAGTGTTTGGCACTTTGTACAAGTGTTTTCCTCATGAATAAATCTCATGTGTGTGACCATAGCCCTTATAGACCGTAGTCCATTGTTCAGAGTGCCCAGTGAATTTACTTTTTTAAGACAAAACCACACATTTTAGAGCGGCCTTTTACTGTGGCTACGTCATCACTTTAAACATTAAACACAGAGTGGTAAAACAAAAACATTATGATTAGGATTAAAAAAGATCCTACAAAACTGTGTGACCTGTCTGAAAGATAAGTCATAAAAACAACTGACCTGCTCTGAATGATATTAAAAATGTCTCTCTCTGTAATGTATCCAGTGTCCATTAATTACTATCCTTTCATTTATTTCAGAGACAAAAGTCAAGGAGCCAAACTTCACCCTGAAAAGAACCTTCAGGGTGGAGAACACGGGCCTGCTCCCCATCACCATCAGGTCGGCAGAAATCAACGGACAAGCTTGTGAAGGATATGGATTCAAAGTTCTCAACTGTCAAGAATTTGCACTTAAGCCAAATGCTTCAAAAGACCTCATCATACTGTGAGTGAACAAACGTGTCGTCTGTGTTTGTCCACGAGTGTTTAGCTGTGTGTGATCTAGACCCAGAGTTGGAGGGCAGTTTAGGAATATGGTTACTCCATGGGAACTTCAGTGTGTGTGTGTGTGTGTGTGTGTGTGTTCTCCCCATCTCCCAGAAGCTCTATTAATACTTGTCCTCAGCCTCTCCAGCTGAGTAAGCCTTCAGTAAGAGGATGAATTGGCGCTCTGTCTCTCTGAAGCCTCAGCTTGCTCCCCTCAGGTCTTATTTTTCTTCTTCGCTTAAAGTTCACGTCCACGCTCAAAGTGAACACATATTCACTTGTTAAATTCTCAAATGTTTGCTAGGAAATCTCAAATATTGAAGTCAGGACAGTCATCTTCAAGTTTTACTCAAAAGTTCGAGTGACACCAGCTCTGTGGGTATAAATTGTTGGAGCGAATCTGTTTGTCAGGGTCATGTGTTCCCAGATACATTGTTCTCTTAACACACATTAACCTTCGTGTTGTGTTCAGCTCAAATTTAATAAATATTATCCAGTTAACTTATGCTGTATTAAATGAATACAGGGTGGGGGAACATCTTTTTCAGGTTCCCCTGATAAAGCTTGGAAACACTGGACCCTGGGAACTAGAGATGGGGCAGATCAAGGCTTGTTTTAACTGATCAGTATTGTCATATTGAGCCTGATCGGATCCTTTTTTTTTAAAGTCAGCTGTTACACAGATGTTTTAACTCGTGAAGCTTTCATACACAGCAGTGCAGAGTGAACTCCACTAAGCTCCTCTGTGTTTGTAAGAGCAGGGTTGAGCTCTTCCCCCAGCAAAACACCACACACCATAAATGACCACAAACTGCATTATGTTTGTGTTATGTACCTCAGTGGTGTTACTTGTTTAATTTAGCTCAGTGTGAGACAGTCTTGCATGCGGTAGAGAGCTAACTGGTCCTCAGTTATAGGTGAATGAAGATTATTTTCTATTTCTATTTCAAAAAATTCCCCGACCAGCTCTTCTGACACATCAGCGTTGTTCTGTGGCTGTCACCTGCTGGTTTCCTGTGAGAGATAACATCCTTCTAACAGCAAAGGTGTTAAAAAAAAGTCACGGTAGTGCACAGCCACCAAATGCCACGAGTTTGAAGATCAACTCTTCTTTCCTGTGATGCTAATTTTAAACTATGAAACTGCTGTAAACTCTCAACAAGTAATTTGCAATTGAAATGACAGAATTTGTTCTCAAAATTTGAACTTGAGTGTCATGTTGTAAAGACGCTACACACCCATGGCACACCCTAAAGGTGTTTCCACATGTGTTTGCCTCATTGCAAACATAATCTGTTGTAGATTATTTATTGCTTGCAAACAAAAGCTTCCATGGCTGCCTCGGGGCACACGCACGTGAGACTGAAGTAGAATTGCAACCTATACTTGAATATCACTGTTTGTTACAAACAGATGCTTATCAGCTCTCACCTTCTGCCTTTGCCTCTGGGGAACTGTCTCTCATAATGCTCTCACTGTCTTCACCTGGCAACAGTTGTCATGCAGTTGATATGCAAATTGGATATTTCCACAGCAGTGTCTTTAATTCTTACTGACAAACAGAGAGGGTTGATACTTCTCCAGGCTGACATGATATCATCACAGTTTGATGTCACTCTCAGGTTACACTTCAGTATTTTTTGGCACGTGTATTTTAACACAATACTTCCCGTAACGACCTCGTTCTTGTAACTATGTGGGTGTGAACTGACTGTTTAGTCACACTTGTTGGGGCGGGGCAGTTTACGCCACATTCTTATGATCAGCCTTTTGACACGTCACAGTAGGTGTAAATATTTTGACACACAAACACACAGGTTTTAATTATTTATGATCTTTACAATAGTATTCATATTGGAAATGAGCAGCATTTGGAGAAGAGTGGTTCGGTGAGATTTGGAGGACTCGTCACTCCGTCACTGCTTTAAGCAAACGCCTGAGTTTGCAGCAGTGTTTCCATTTGAAAAAGAACAGTGACGGAGTCGGCCTTTAACATTGCACATTTGATGATAAATGCTCATACTAGTGCAAATGCTGACTGATAACTAAATCGTGTTTTTATTAAACATGTATGGAACAAAGCTCGATGAAATTTCAGAGCAAAATCCTTTTTGTCTCACTGTGGTGTAGACTTTTCTCATGGCAGATATTTTGCCTTGTCATTGCAGGAGAAGCACAGGTGGAGCTGAAAACACTGAAGGCCTTTGACTGTTTTATTCTATTTATAGTGTCACTGACAGTCGCTGCCAAAGCACTTGGAACTGGCACCTGAATGGAATGTAGCCATTGTTAAAGTCATTAGTTGCTCCTTTCTTCCTCACTGCTATCAACAAAAAAAGCCTAAAAAGTCATATTGGCAAATATATTAGTCTTCTCCAACTTACAGCTTGTAAGAGTAAAAACTTTTTACCAAACTGCACATGTGCACATGCTGTAAATTTGCCCGCATCAGTGCAGAGGCAGAGTAAACACATCCTCTCTGGAAGACCTTCACTTCCTCGAGTTTGTGACTAACACATGCTTTGAAAATTAGAGCATCAGAGGAAAATGCAGCAGCCTTTCTCAAACTGGTTTGCTGCATGCCTCACCTCAGGAATGTTCAATATAACAATGGTTTGTCAGACAGTCAGTAAAGGCCACACAAGGACAGGTTTTTGTATCGTTGAGTGAGCAGCCTTTTAACATGTCCTTCCTTTCCTCACAGGTTTACACCCGACTTCACCTCATCTCGAGTGATCCGGGAGCTGAAATTGGTGACATGTGGAGGCTCTGAGTTTGTGTTTGTCCTGAACGCCTCCTTGCCCTACCACATGTTAGCTGCATGTGCAGAGACCCTGCCCAGACCGAGCTGGGAGCTGGAGCTCTACATCATAGTGTCTCTCATTATGAGGTGGGAACCACTCTGTACTCACAGTGTAGCATTAAAAGGGACCTATTGTGCTTTACCTCATTGTCTGTCATATATATAATGTTACAGTGTCAGATGTTGAGGTGAAACGTGGCCAGAGTTTCAAATAATGAGGCAAATGTATGTAATAGTTATCCCTGCGAGCACCAGCCTCAGTTTCCAAAGATTTTTTTCTTCTTCTGAGACAAGCTGACGTCAGCTCGTTAATTTCTCTGTGGTCAAATTTTTACATTACATACACTGCTACATGTAGCTACATGCTAACGCCAGGAGACATGTAAACTCGGGTGCCAGTGTTGATTTTTGTGTTACATTTTGTTTTGTATTTCAACCTGACTAACCGTTCATATTTGTTTTGTCTTCGTGTCTTCAGTTCCATGTTTCTGTTGGTGATCGCCACAGCCTACCTGGAGGCTCAGAGCATATGGGAGCCTTTCAAGAGACGTGTCTCTGTGGAGTCCAACTCCACCTTGGAGACTGGGAGACCATTTAATCTCAGGGACATTGTGCAAATGGACAGTGATTCAAAGTAAGTGTAACATAGAAGAAGCTGAGTAACATCTCAGGCACAGGCTGATCAAATCACATGATGTCATCAGTGTACAGAGAGAGATAATGTTTATCTAATGGAGAGGAAGAGAGATCTAATGTTAAAAACAAAGTATTAAAGACTCAAAAGGAAACAGGCCAAGATTTTGTCAACTGTTGTTGAAATTGCTCTAAAATTCTTTTACGGATATTCTATCATTCTGATTGATGAGGCGTTAAAGGGACTGTGACACACAGACGACAGTGAATGTCTGTTGGGCTGTAGTCAAGTATCTGTGACGAACCATTGTCCACAGTTCTGACAGTGTCTGATTCCTTCTGAGATTATTTCCCATCCTCCGTCTGGTGGAAAATATTACATCAAACTTCCTCAACAATTCCTTACAAGTCCACAAAAACACCTAACTCTAGAAACACAAGAGAAAAATATGAAGTATTTTTTTTTTCTGCCACAGTATAATCCATAAAGCAATACCACACAATGCAGCACTGAAGAGATCCAAAGGAAGTTGGTTTACGTGGCAGAAGATTTAACTACAGAGGGGAGGTGCAGCATGTACAGTGTGTTTGAACAGGAATTTTATTTGACCTTTCAGGTTGAACGATTACGGCGACCCTCCCCAGAACTCCAGAGGAGTATATGCGTCCAGCAACGGAGCAGCTCGGGTCGGAGGCCGACAGGGCAACAGTCGCACCTTGTCCGACTCAGACAGCCAAGATAAGAGGTCCAGGATCGGCTTCAGCCGCCCAACTATGCAAGCAACTTCCTCGCAACTGACCAAAGGAAGTGCAACCTCAGGCCAAGAAGGCCCTCCAGCTGGCTGCCAGCTCACCAACCGAAAGGCTCGGAGCACCAAACAACTGGACCTCCAGGGTCAAAGTTTAGCCGGGTCATCGCTGCCTCACAGAGGCCTCTGTCCTGAGGATGCAGAATACGCCAACCTGATAGGAGCCATGGACAACGACCTCGACCGTCCAGATTCACTCAGTGGTGAGACTCTACAGGAACAGAGCACTCAGTCAATACAAAACAAAGGTACTCACATTTGTGTTTGTCACAGGAGAGTAGGACAGAACGCCTCTGTGATCATCTACAGGTCTTTTAACATGTGTGTTAATATCATGTGCAGTGTTGGAATCCAAAGGGAAGCTGCGAGGCAAAACAAAAGCCCAGAGGAAGAAGGAAGAGAAAGAGAAGAAATCCACAGTAAAGACTCAGGGAGACGAGCTCAAAGATAACCTGGCCGATAACGACGACAGCTCCTCCACCACCACAGAGACCTCCAATCCAGATGTGGAGACAAACATCAAAGAGGTACGCTCACATCCTGTGTTGGACATGTTTTCTGTCAAAGCTGTCTCTTCATGCATTGCATCTACCAGAGCTGGAGACTGGAGACTTGAACACAAAACTCTGAGGAGACTTAACTTGTTTACTAGAGATGTTCTGATGCTCCGCCGAGCTTCCGATTGGAGGACGACCCGCTCTGCCTCTTAGCCACAGCCGCCCATTCTTAAAGCCCAGTTCTGACCAAAGATTCGCAATGAGACGAGATGAAACCTTTGTAGATCATTGCAGAGGAAAGTTGCAGCGGTGTGAACTGGTCAGTCTGAGCTCGACTCAAGCCAGCTGATGGTGCCACCTGCAACTCAGCTGGGCAAATGGCCGGCAGCTGGTTTTAGAACATAAAGCACATTACCTGTTTCCACCCGCCTCACACTCACACATCTCATTGACTGATTAATTGGCGCTGCTTACTTATATTATTGTGCCGTATTTATTATGAATACAGTCCATCTGATGCTTGTTTTGTTTCAGTTATTAGCTGTTTCATCACTACTACAAATGCAGCTGTAGCCAGTATCTCACTATCACTATCTCCATTCATATTTTAAGAAGCTACAAATTATATTCAGCCATAAAATAAACCGGAAAAGCTGCAAATCAGAACAGAAGTACAGAGAGTTGTTGCATAGAGATGATACACCGTGTCATCTAGTTGAATTGGTGTGAACTGGCAGGTTTTCAAAACATCTCAGAATGGCACATTGGAAACAGCTGCATGTTTCATCTCGTCTCGTTGCGAATCTTTGGTCTGACCTGGGCTTTGAAACCTACCACTTACCCAGATACTGTTTTTACTTATACCTGCACTTAGCTGTCGGCAAAATGTGGATTAACCTAACTCACTCTAATAACCATATTATCTGGAAGGGTCGTAAAAGGCATTAGATGTAACTGTCTGATACCTGTAGACACCTTTTCTCAGTTGCACCTTCGTTTCGAGTGTTCTCATCGGACTATTTAACACATTTAGATGCTTTGATTCATTGCTTGTGTTTAGCCCCGTTTTCCTGTTAAATGAAGTATTTGGAGTGATTGTGGCCATGCTGTTATTATAATTTTCATACTAGCACTGACAGACTAAAGAGATGTAAGAAGACTACAGAAACAGCTCTAGCATCTACTGCTATGGAGATGAAATCATAATAAACATGCTGTTATTCTGCTTTTCTGAACATTTTTTCCAGGAACCAGTGAAAAAGAAAGGAAGAACAGCAACAACAGGAAAAGTGAAAGAAGAGACTTCAAATTTCCTAATCAAACCCAAAACCAAGAAACAAGGAACCATAAAGAAAGAGAGCCCCGTAGAAAAATCCAGGTCAGTTTATTTAATCACAAATAATACATCATCTTTCATTCACTGCATTTTTCAAACCTTTTTATGACGGATCTTTATTGTCCTTAGTTCTCTGGAGCTGCCATATGTCACACCGCTGGAGAACAAACAGCGCAAGAGCTTCACATCCAAAGCTCTGCACCCTCTCACCAACATCCCAAAGACAAGACCGCTGCAGAAACAGAGATGTGAGTGTCTTCACCTACATGTTGTCACGTTGCTGTCCGCTTCAGTACAGATATGTTAGTGACACATTTGTTTTGACAGTTGATGGGAAGCTGGAAGAAGGGCGCCCCTCTCTGTTGGCCAAACTGTTGTCCAGCGGTCCAGTGCCAGAGTTGGGCCACAGCAGCAGCTCTGAGGGGGAGAAGGAGTTTGCTTCTCCAGAGTGGGATGTACCACTTTCCAAAAACAGCGTCCGTAAGTCAAGATCTTTTTTTTTTTTTTTTTTTTTTTTTTTGGTGATCAGATTTTTATTTTTCAATGCTGGAGATTTGATTGAATGTGAGGCCAGAGATATACTTTTAAACCATGGGTTTGCGGAGACGACTGGCAGGAAATCATTCACATACCTGCCCATGTGCTGTGAATGTTACTGGAGAATTCCACTAGAGGGCACACTTCCACGGTCTACTGTACTGGTGGTGGGTGCAGTTTAAAGGGTCGTGTCACGTAGACTCTAAACGAAATGTAACTGCAGCTATGCATGTTTAAAACTTAGCACGTCCACCCAGATGTCATGTTTCCATCACTGCTGGTCAAAGCCAGAGCTGTGACCACTGCAGTCATTTGTCCTGGAAATCAATCAATCAATCAATTCAATCAATTTTATTTATAAAGCCCAATATCACAAATCACAATTTGCCTCACAGGGCAAAGAAATGAATGCTGATTGTAACCTTCCCCACTCAAGACAGAAGCCAGGTGTTAGTGGGCGTTAGTGGGTTTTGGTCTGGTGGGAAATGAGCTTTATTTGTCCCTCCAGTCTTTAAAATTTCCCCTCCTCATATCTTGGTGACGATTTGAACATTTGTATACCGTCACAGATGTTGTTTCACAGTCTGGGTAATTTAACATTTAAATTCAGACCTGAAACTGTCCTGTCGTGTTCTGTGTCCTTATTCAGACGCTAACTGGTTTGATTTTCTCCTGTTCCCCATGTGCAGAAGCAGATAGTCTTCAGCAGATCTCCCTCCAGACAATAAACGCAGACCCTTTCCTGAAGAGATCCGTCACAGCAGGGACCTGCTCCCCTCCACCCACCTCCCCCAGCTTACTGTCCAGAGGCACCTACAGCAGCGTGCTCAACAGTAGCAGGTATCCACTCGGTCAAATGTGTAGCTAAAACAACACCTTGTTTTGTTCATGTTTGAAATTCTGAAAGAACCAAGGTGTCTGTAAAAAAGCTCTCACAGGCGCCAGGACCTCTTGTTTCCCCACTATCACTGCCAGCGACTGTCAGAACCAGACACATATATGTTAACGCCACATTGACTGTGTCAGACCATTGCAGTGATACGTCAACATCATACTAAAGAAGGCGAGACTTGCCTGTCAAGAAATTAGTCAGGGGAGAGGCGTTTTTTTCTGGATATAAAACATATAACTAGGGATGTCATGATCTGATCTTAATGATGGTATCAGGGCCAATCAAGGCATTTTTTTAACTGATTAAAATCAGCTGTATTGAACTATGTACTATGTTTGCTGTATTGAACTGAGGAGGTTTTCCTCAGGAGGTTTTTGCTCTTGCATTTTTAACCTTTATAATCACAGCAGTGCAGCAGAGTTTCTCAAGAAAGCCAGCCTTGACCCTTCAACCCATCTTTAAATTACCATTTTATCAAACATTTTAGAAACAGTTAGGGCTGGGCCATGTAACGACTATGTACAATGTATCCATATGTTTCCAGCAAGATATAGATTTAGACAACAGCGTTTATATCAATATAGGGTCAAGTTGTGTTACATAAAGCAAACCAATGAGCATCGCTCCTCTCTCACACTCTCCGTCCCACTCACTCACTCACAAGTTCTCCAGCAACACTCACAGAGCTGCGCCTCTGTTTAATCTGTCTGTTACTTAGTCTACATTGGTCTATATGTTGTACGTGCTGCACTAAATCAGTCTGTGAGATAAAATTACGGCAGCACATGTGCAATCCAGCGCTGTACTCCTAGTTTATGACTCTCGCTCCTTCCCTCCCTCGGCCTCTCTGTTAATGCTCTGTGCATAAATAAGATTAATAGCTTTAATAAATGAAAATATTTAAATCATTTTCCAGCACTAGATTCATTTGAAATACTCATGTTATAGTTTTGTGTCCTGTGCTGCAAACCTTTAAACCTCTGTAGCTCCAGTGCTGTGTGCAAAACGTTAACCGTACAGCCCTGCTATATATGTTACATAATTTTTCATTCACATGTTGTTCAGCTGTGTATTTTCAAACAGGGTATAAAATTCCTGTTTTTGCATTTTATTTTGATCACAGTCTGTTTTTATAAAAGTGCTTGTGACATTTGAAACGTGGCTTTGACTTGCAGCTGAAAACATGTCGCCCATTTTGTAGGAAAAAAAAAAACAGATACGTATTGCGTGTGCTAGTCAGCCTGTAAATACTGAGATAAGAATTTTAGCTATTATTATAATAAAGCATGTTATTTTGGTTTGGTATTTTAAATGTGTATCTAAAATCTAATCCAGATTTTTGGTGAATTTCTGTTGCAGTGAGGGAAACCAAAAGAAGGCCCCAGGAAATAAACTGTCTGCAGCCACTCCACTCCCAGGCAAAAATGGGAACCCCACCTTCGCTGCTGTAGCTGCTGGTTATGATAAAAGCCCTGGTAAGTATGAAACCATGAACTAACTCTCCATCAAAGTGTGTTCATTGTTGCTATGGTGGTTAGTTTATGGGACAACACTGATGTTTGATGTCGCTGACAGGTGGCTCTGGCCCAGGTAAAACTGACAGCCAGGGGAAGAGTCTGGCACACATGACATCAGTGGAAAGTGACAGCTCTGACAGGTAATGTGACAAAATGAATACATTTGCATCCAGACGTGACATCAAGATTTAGCTCATTTAAAATTCTGCTTTTCTTTCTCCCATAGCTCTGGATTGTGGAGTCCCATTGACACAGCCAGCAGTCCAAACTTCCATTCGGCAAACTCATTCTCTGCTTTTGGACCCAACAATTCCTTCAACCTGACAGGAGGTAACCCATGCAGTTTGATTTACCATCAAACAGAAGAACGTAGAATAACTGGTGTTACAGGTTATAGCTGGCTGGCTGCGTCCAAACTGAAGTGTGTGTGTGTGTGTTGTTAGTTTTCAGTGGAATGAATCTCCCAAAGTCATCAGAGCCTCAGCAAAGCTGGCCTGAGTTCACCTCCGCCTCCGCCTCCGCCTCCTCCATCTGGGACATACCGAGCAGTGACTCTCTGCACTCCTGGCCCAGCAGCTCCAGCTCACCGACTGCCCCAACAGTAGTAAGATCCCTTATTTGTGTTTAACGTAGCTCCCCCTGCTCGTGATACTATTGTGAAGCTTCTCTTCTCTTTTTGAAGTCACTCCTGGGAAACACCCGCAATCCCTGGTCTGCAGCCACACCCTTCGGCAGCTCCATTTGGTCAACAAGCGCAGATTCAGCCTTACACCCTTTCCCTCCAACGACCAACTCAACAACGCTCACTGACCTGGTCAGCAGTCCCGCCCCGTCGCCGCCAACTTCAACGGAGATGAGTCGGACCTACAACCCGTGGAACATGTGGCGCCCCACCCTGAGCAGGCGCAGCTCTGAGCCGTGGCCCAGCTCCTCTGACAACGGCAATTAAACTGCACATGACTGCACTTAACAGAAGCACATCATGGATTGGATGTACTCTGTACGCTAAATCTAATTCTTTTATAATCAGAGAATCCCAACAGAAAGCAATGTTACCTGAAGTGTAATGGGTTGGGTAGCCCAGTGCTGTAGGCTACCAGCCCCGCAATTTAGTTCACTGCAGCTTTTTATTCATGGGGGGCAGAACTTTTTATTTGGATTTGTTTTAACAGGTGCCCCTAAATTAAAAATGGTAATAGCATGGTATGTTAACGCCAGTGCAGACATTTTTGCTGTTATAGAAAGGCTGGTAGTGCTGCATTCCTTCTCAAAGTTGGGTACACGGCGCGGAGTCTCTGGTGTTCAGTATTAATGTTGGAACAGATGTCTTCTTTTAAGCCATCAGTCTTCTTTTCACAGTCATTTTGGTTCTTATTGGTTTCTTATACAGATTGGTTTGAAAAAGTCAAATTCGCAAACATCTGCGTCTAAATCATTGAACTAGTCTTTTATTTGGCAGCAGCGACCTTTCATAATCTGAAATGTGATTCTTCAGAGCACCAACGGCCCCAAAAGCTTCATGGACATTCATGTTCCCATTTTAAAGCGGGCTCTGCCCTGATAATATCAAGAAGCCTTCGGTGAGAATTAATTGGTGATCAAAGAACACTTGCGTTTGAGGTTTGTATTGTACATCACCTCTATTTGTCAGCAAATTTAAATAAAGGATTTCAGCAGAACATCTTGTTTTTCATGTCTTTTTGTATTCTATTTAAACCTGCAATAACTGTTTTCTCTTTCCCACATGGGAGCATTGAAAACGTGTCAAGTTGTGTAAAGCTGAGGAAAGATGGAGACTCAAATCATACTGTACATTTTAGTTTCTGTGGAAAAGTGGCATGTGTGCTGCTAGATTGGCATTAGCAGTTAGTGCTAGTGATTAGCATAAGCGAGTCACAGGCTAATGCTAACAGAACGGCTAACAGTCATGACAGTTTGTATCAGTGGAGTCAGGAAGCCCTGAACTGTTTCAGTTCCCCGTCGAAAAGAGGTGTCTGACGGCCAAGGTAAAGTGGTGAAAGTATTCTAAATATATTTTAAGACCACTAAAACATAGCCTATAATATATAATTTCACAGACCTCTGGAGCACAGTGAATTTATTTAATAATATAAACACTTAGGGACATTTATACACGCATTTAAACACAAAAACAAGACATATTTTAGCAGGTCAAACAACCTAAATAAACATCACAATATTAAATGAAACAACAAAGCATAAGAAGAAATGAATACATGAATAATTTAAACTTCTGTAAAGTTTGGAAATGTTCCTATATTGTTTGACAGTGACAGCAGCAGATACTGTTGTGTGTGTGTAGCTGCAATGGTCTGTCAAAGGTCAGCAGAGGGCGCTCTGAGCTCAGCTGTGTCAGGGTCCAGTTCATGGTCAACAGCTGATGCACGAAAGATGGACGTTGACTTGAAGGCCAGATATGAAGAATGTTAGTGACTATTGTTACAGAAATGTCCAGGTAAGAGTGCTGTAAGGGGGCTGTTGTTGTGAAAAAATACAATATAACGTTAAACCACTTGGCATAAATAGTTTAAACCCTTAAAAACGTCTGTGAAAACAACAAACATATGTGTGCTAGCAATTAGCATCAACATTTTACAGGCTAATGGAAAGGGTAACGGCTATCATTAACTACATTATATTGTTAATATGTAAATTCTTATTAAGTCATAAACATTTGTGTGGGTTTCAAGTTATACTATGAGTTTGACATTACCTGTAAGACTGGCATTTGTGCTAGCTAGATTAGCATTAGCTATTAGTATTAGTGATTAGCATAAGCGATACACAGGCTAATGCTAATGGAACGGCTAACGGCTATCATTAACTACATCCTGCCGTTGCAATGTATGGTCATACAAAGTTTTGAACATTTGTGTGGTTCTCAAATTATACTGTGATTTCAAGTGTACGTATACAATTGGCATACGTGGTGCCAGATAGATTAGCATTAACGGGGGTCAGCCCTATGTTCCCACAGCTCTATGTTCCCACATTTCTAAGAATTTTTTTTTCACTGAAAACTAGGCCCTATGTTCCCACAGCCCTATGTTCCCACATTTCTAAGATTTTTCTTAAAATTAGGCCCTATGTTCCCACATTTCTAAGATTTTTCTTAAAATTAGGCCCTATGTTCCCACAGTTCCCATATTTCTAAGATTTTTCTCAAAATGAAACCCTATGTTCCCACATTTCTAGGACATTTTCAAAATTAGGTTTTGTGTTCCTACATTTCCCTTCAATTTCAGCCCTATCCTCCCACAAGGGTTAGGGTTAGGGGGATAATAGGTTGGGTGTAATTGGCTACCAAATTGGGAGAAAGGTGGATAAAATCTGATACAAATTTATGAAAAAGGAAGTGTGGGAACATAGAGCTGTGGGAACACAGGGCTGTGGGAACATAGGCACGCTCCCCATTAACGATTAGCACAAGTGACTCTCATGCTAATTGCAAGGGTAATGGCTGTTAGGGTCATTTAAATTCAGTTAAGTACCGGTAATGATGAAGTAAAGTTGGCCAAGTTCAGCAGTTCTTACTGTGCCCTCTTAACAGAGTTTTAGTTATTCAGAGCTGTGTAAAAGTTAAAATATTGCTAGTACACAGGCAGCACGTTGGCAGAGTCCAATCTGTCAATGATGTATTAATTCAGTCAGGTAGTCTGGAAAGTCAGGTTGTATTGTATTGATCTGCCAGCACTTCGTTTGAATAGTTTGCACAATCTTTTTCACAGACAGCACTTTGTCTGCTCATATAGTGGCCACTTAATGTACCTAAACTGCAGAAGGTACCAAGCCTTTATTTGAAGGTGGATTATTTTACAGATAGGCCTTTATTCCTACTTCACTCTGTTTGATTCAGTCATATTAGCATGAAGCATCCTCCTTTTCAGAGCTGCTCCTGTTTGCCCTGTTACATGTTTATGGCGTTATGATGTGCAAACTTCATACATCCGGATTCCATTTGAAGTTAAAAGTCCTGTAGCATCTGAATAAAGGGAAGCCCTTCGTTTTATCGCAAGGCCTTTACTGTGAAACATTTGCAGGAATATGTTGTGAGAAATTAACTGACTTATACTGCTCCTTAAATGTAGCTTTTGCTATCTTGTGGCAGTTGTGTGTTACTATAAAATACAATTTGGTTGGGATAACAACACAAAGACACACATATTGACTGAAATAGGACATTAAAGGCCTTTGCACACCAAGTTATTATTTTTCGTCCAAACTTATTGCATGGTTAAAGATAAATATGACCTCTTACTGTGTCAATCATCTTTACACACAGACTCTGAAACTCTAGTCTGCTTCCTCGACAAAGCCTATCCAGCAGAATGCAGTGTAGTTCGCATGGTAATGGAAAACCTGGAAATGACACGCAATTACATAAGCTCATTTTGATGTAATAAAATTTAGAGGTTATAATCAAATACATTAGGAATACAGTGATATTATAATCATGTCTGTTTTCCCTCATGCTTGAAAGTCAGTGCCAGACTGATAAACACTAAGTGCTTGTATGACTCATGCAGGTCGCCATGGTGCAGAAAGAGGGAGGTACCTCAAGTGGAGAGACACAAGCGAGTAAAGGGCTCTCTCTCTCTCTCATATTGTGAGTTTTCACAATGAATATTTTTTATTTAATGTTCATTTGTTTAGGGACAAGTATGTAGCATACTTAAATGCCACACATCACAGCATTTATAGCCTAAGCTAATTTGCAATGCCCGTCCCTAGCTGGGCCTTAAGATACAAAAGACTCAGCAACAACAACACAAGTAAAAGTACAAACAACAGTAAAAATACAGACAACAATACAAGACGCAAACTGCAATACATAATTAGGACCATAGAATATGAAGCACCAAATTATTCATGACTGCATAACTGATTCCTCCTCCTTCGGTTTCAGTTTGAGTTTAAAGTAAATGAAATCAGCAACCAATTTGAGCTCTGTAGATAAAGTATTCCACAATGGGCAGAAAAGGCTGTTTGTCCAAAAACGGAGTTACACAGGGGAACCTTACAGCTCCCACTGGCTGCTCCACGTGGTACTGAGACTGAAGCTCTAAGTGGAACCACAAGGTCACTGAGCACCTGGGGAGCCTAATTATTTAGGTGTTTATGGATGAGTTTGAAATTAATGAAATTATCAAAACTTTGTATATTTAGTTTCTGAGGAACGTGGCAATGATGTGCTCTTATTGGTTCCCTGTCCAAGATTTTTTTTTTTTTTTTGGATATTTTTTGCAGGCATTTTGCCTTTAATGGACAGGACAGCTAAGAGTGAAAGGGGGAGAGAGAGGGGATGCCGTGCAGCAAAGGGCCACAGGCTGGATTCGAACCCAGGCCACTGCGATAACAGCCTTGTACATGGGGTGCTGCTCTATCCACTAAGCCACTGGCGCCCCTCCTGTCCAAGATTTTAATTGCTCGATTTAATATCATCATAAGAGGTTTGGTTATTGTACATGCTGCTTGTGACCAAGAGGTTACACAGCTAACTATTTATTCAGGTGAGTAACATTTCGAGCATCAGCCTGATGAAGAGCCTGACGCTTGAAACGTTACTCACCTGAATAATTTACGACTGAGCATTGGAGCCCTGCAGTGTGCAAGCTGTTTGATTTTTCTGTTGTTTGCATCGTTTTCGGCTCACTACCTGCCCTTCTTCCGGTTTGGATGTGCGTGTGTTTTTCTTTGTTTGTGATACACAGCTAACTGAAATAAAAAAAGTCATAGCATGCATGGAAATAGAACAATTAAAAAAAACATATCAGACTCAGTGTGCAAGGTTTATGTGCACAATGATTTTTATTGAGTGATGTATTAAAAAAAAAAAAAAAAAACACAAAAAAATCCAGACTAATACAGACTTGGTGTGCAAAGGCCTTAACACTTCAGATGAGGAAATCCAGAACTACAAAGATTTAAAAATAGCATGATTATAGTGTTGAATTCATTAATTTATGGCGATATAAATGTACATTGTGCTTTGCTTATCTGTGTCATATGACAGGCACCAGGAGTTTATCCACCCTTGGATAGCGGCCATGGATCAAACATAGATATGAGAAAGTACAGGGGACCTTAGTGATGCACAGATGAGGAGAAAGGAGAGTAGGCAAGGAGAGGACGGTGTACGGGTGACGAGGGCAGGAGAGGAAAGTGAGATGAGACAAGTTCCAAAAAACTTCCAAACACAGCAAGTCTGGATGGGATGTTCAATCCTTGGTTACACTATACGTGAAAGGGTAAGTTTCAAGCATTAAAATGTCAGTAGTGTATTCTTGTAAAAGATCATGGAAAATGACTTTTTAAACTGTATTAAATACAAATTTTCTTACACCCCCTGTAACATTGCCCCATCATCAAACTATTGCATTTCCTGCACATCTGGGCAAAAATGGGAGCCCCAGGTTTGGTGCTGTAGCTGCTTGTTACGACAGAAGCCCAGTTAAATATGTAACAGTGAACAAAAACTTTATGAAGGTGGCCTTGTAATGGTTTGCAACAATTGAAATTTTCTTGGCCAATTCTGATTTCCAGTTTATTTTTAGTTTGATATGCCAATTCTGATTTTCTCTCTTTCTCCATCTCTCTATAATGGACAGCATACACGAACATGATTGTCACTTTCCTTTAAAGGGAGATTTAACTGTAGGTTCATTTTAAACACTGACTATTAAATAACTTTCACATCTTCTCCAAAGCTGCACAAACGTACCTGACCTTCTCTTACTCTCACTTCAACTCCAAATAAAAAGTACAGCAGGTTACTGGACGGAGCTTTTTTGTACAAATATAATCCAGCTGAAAATGACTTGTAGTATATCTGTGTAGCATGTTTTACTTTTCAAAAAGAAAAAAGGAGCAACAGACTTTCATATGCTCAAATGAATTATTTACATATCAGAGAAGAACAATCAGAGAAAACAGTAGTCTATACTGTGGATGTAGTGATATTACAGAGAGCCTACTATTCATCATTTACTTAAAACGATAATTATCTATTTGTTTGTAGAATTAAAAAATTATTTATGAATTAGTATCAATATGGAATGTAAAGGTGTGTGTACAGTAGTGTCTCCTCTCCTGCCTGCCACACACTGGGTCTCATTCAGGAAATGTCAGCAAATCTCTCAGTAGATTTGCACATAAAAAACCTTGGTACTAAAACCCTACACTGGATTCATGAATGCCATGGAAAACTCAGATTTAATCGTAGGCACGTGTGTATGTGCATGAGTGCCAATCAATAATAAATTGACAGCGCGCTCCCACTTGTAAGCAGTCAGTGTACATCCCTGCCCATAAATATGTCAGTGACGACCATATATGGAGGTGATAGTTACTATGGATAGGTGCGTCCTGTCGACCTGTGAACATGGAGCAAACAAAGAAAGAGTAAAGACAAACTTGTCCAGTGCTGACTCTGAAGTTATCTTAGGTGAATTGGGATTGAGAAAATTGAAAAAACACTTAGAAGCATGTTGTTTGCCTGACAGCATCATTTGAATCGAGCCCCTGCCCCTCCGTCGTCAGCTTCCCTTGTGTCAACTGCACACACACCAAGCACCCTGCAGAGCAGCATCACATCTCCCTCATCTGCCGTCATGGACAGCCAGCTAACTACTGTGTTTGCCCTGAGCCTCGGCATTCTCTGTCTCTGTTGTTAAATGAAACCACCATTAAAACATCTTAATGCAGGCAGTCTGATGTCGGTCATAACCCACCGTTAAATTTAACAACAAGTAATATAGTCTGGTGTAAAACCACATCAGCTTCCTCTAACTCTCTGGCAGATTTGAATTCACCAACAAGACATACGCCGAATTGCTTTCCCACATCCACAGGTCTTTTTAAACCAATATTCAATTTGAAATAATGTTTACATCTCCTACGTCAAGTCTCTGATAATTAAATTAAACAAAAATTACATGCAGTTTGGGACTGCAGTGCGTAAAGAGGGCAGAGGAGGAGATGTTATTTTATTTATTGGCAGAACTGTGTTTTCCAGTTTTGTATTAAGTCGATTTAAATTATTACTTCATGTTTTTAAGAATCTTAATCCGAAGCCTAAATCTGCTAAATACCAACTAGTCTAGCTAAATGTGTTATTTCTAATCTTTTGTCATGAACATAACAGCACAACACAAACTAAAATTGTAATTTCTAATAATGACAATCAACATTTCTGTGCAGTATCTTATTTACACAAGCACTACGAGCAGTCAGAAACAGGTGTAGACTTTGTTAGAATCTATGAAAAGATCGGAGCTAGTAGCATATTGATGAATGATGAAATACCCGTAAATTTCCTTCTGCGAAGAGTTTACACACAAATTCATTCTGCTCAGGTTTAATGAATAAGACCCAGTGTGTGCACGGCTCAAGAGGGGAGAGAGGGGGTAGAAGAGACCCCGCGCCTCTGGCAAAAGAGACAGTCACTGTGATTACTCTGAGCAGGATGCATGGAAATAAACTATGAACTTTTCCCCAATGAATAAGTTGCTGAATTTGTTGCTAGTCGCTTTTCAGAGATAAAGTCGCTAAGTCGACCCATTAGTGCACCTCTAGTGAAATTTAGAATGGAGAAAAGGTTGATATTGTACATCACCTCAATTTGTCAGGGTTTAAAGGGTTTAAGCAAAAATCATATTTTTTTTAATTCGATATACTCAAAAATGATTTGATTGAAGGAGGAACTTATCTTTTTTCTCCATACCCATACATATGTCATCAGTGATTACTTCTCAGGTCGTCTAACAGACTTCATGAGTAACTTACTAAACTTGGCAATGTCACACTTCGTGAGAACAAACACACTGTGGCTCTTCTTCAGCTCATTTGTGCGGTCCAGTGCCATCATGCCTCGAGTGATGGAACCCTGCAGCTCCACACGGACGGGACACTGGATTGTCTCTGTTACCACACTTTCGTCAATACACGCGGCCATTGCGTAGGCGTCGTAAGAGACAAAGCCAGGTCCAAAGTACACGTCTCTCTTGCTCTTCATAACGTTTTTGGAGTAAGCCCAGCATTTCGATGTTATTAACTTCATAAAGTTTGAAGCAGGTGTGTCCTGATTGATCAGCTCTTCAAAGAACTCCTGCACAAAAATGAACTCAAATAAGTTTTAAGTGGAAAAGACATGCAGAGTCATAGACTTCTTTGCGAGCGCATGTCTTACCCACGTCAGTGCATTTCTGCACGAGTACTCCCAGGATGCCAGGAATGTAGGGCAGTGAAACTCCTCAAGAACAATATAGGCAGACTCTGGATCCAATGCAAAGTTGAACTCGGCACATAGTGTCACATTTCCTTTTCCTGCAAAGACGAAATCAAGTTATGCAATCTTAAAGGAGCAGTGTGTAAAATTTGGGGGATTTAGTGGCATCTAGTGGTGACCGTTGCAGATTGCAACCAGCTGAAACTTCTCCAGGGATTAAAACCAGTAAAAGGAGTTTCTCTGCTGCTGTTTGGCTCATCACAGACGGGCCACTTGCCCAACACCTGCTAAAGTGTGCTCACCTTTCCTTTAGGAGGTTTTTGCCTATTTATCCACAGAGGTTTCTGCCTCACCAAAACAAATAAACCCAGTGATTTAATCCGGTGATAAACAGTGAAGAAAGCAGTTTCACATTAACAAATCAGTGTTTTACCAATGTTGCTCGTCGCCGAGGTGCTGCTAACTATAGTGGCTGACATGAAAACACAAATGGATCTATCTAGAGCCAGTGTTTGGTTTGTCCATTCTGGGCTACTTTAGTAATATGACGGTGCAACATGGCGATCTCCGTGGACGAGCATCTGCTCCCTATGTAGATATAAACTGACTAATTTTCAGGTGATTATACACTAAAGAAAACATATTTATTATATTCCATTTCTGCCAATAATAATTTCTGCCTAAAACCTACACACTGGACCTTTACATGTTTCAAAATCAAACCCTATAATCATGTGCTGGTATTACCTTCCATGTTGCCTCCCATAATGTACAGGTCTTTGAGCTTTTGGGGGAAACATGGATCCAGTCTGATAGCCAGTGCCAGATTAGTGAGAGGGCCAAGGGCCACCAGGGAGACCTGTGGGGAGCACATTTTAGTGGTTGAACATCAGAGACCAGCCACACACACACACACACACACAGACCGACCACTGAGAGGTTTCTCACCTGTTTCTTGTTTTCATTCACCAGCCTAATCATTGCATTGACTGCATGCTCTCTCTGGATTTTCTCCGCCCAGTGTGGGTCTTTATCTTCAATCACATCCCCGAGTCCATCAGTTCCAAAGTGGTTACTAACGGGGTTACTGGCTCCAACTAGAGGACCAGCAGCACCTCGGAACACAGGGATCTGCAGAGAAACAAAAGGGAAAGATAATCCTCATGAATACTTTTGTAATAAAGGAACTATACCTGACATTCAGAGCATTAATACAGCAGCAAATATCTGTTTCTGTGTAAATATATATTGGAGTGATGGTGTCCTTTTCTGTCAAACTTTGCCCTTTTCCTGCTTTTCTATCCATCTGACCCTTTGGCTCCCACTCGGACCCCCAGATGGCACTATTACTGCCATTCATATTCTCAAGTTTGTGCGTCAGGGATTTTAACATTTTGTCCTAAACTGAACTACGTAAAGATATAGTGGAGTGACGGCGTCTTGAGCAGATAATGAAGTTGTGCTCCCTCTGTGTGTGTGTACTCCGAGCTTCTCTGTTCGCCGGTCTGACCGTGCGTCATCGTGGAGGTGTAGTGCTCTGTCAGCACTGTTCGCGCCATTAGCACTGTTAGCTGCTAGCCACCAGCTCAGCTACCTTCATGTTGTGAGTTGTGTGCAGACAACTACTGAAGCATAGACATGCTCTGACTGTCTTACAGTTCCTTTAATTCCTGTTGAGAGTGATCGTCTTGTTTATTTAAAGCGGAGCTCATATTTTTTTCTGCTTCCCTCTACTGTACTTATTTTTAAATCAGCTCAGAAATATCTCTGCTAATCTGATGTATGGAGACATGTTAACATCAACATGTGGGCCTATTTGGGGACCCATACAACTACAGAAAAAAGAGCAAGACCCCACAAGGGTTGTTGTAATGTCAGCTGCGGAGATTCTCCTGTGCGTCTCCAGCTGAACGTCAACATCTGTTACAGATCAGTTAAATTAAAGAGGAGCACAGTGAATATTTCATTCCACGCGTCTTCCTGTAATGTTAATCAAATCCAAATGGGGCTTAATGAATACAATATTTATGTACAGTACAGCACCAGCTTGTGTAAAAAGATTTGAATAGTGTCACTTTTTTGGTGTAAATAATCACATGTCCTGAGTGCACTCAGTTTACCAGCTGAAGTCTTTGGTTTTAATGCACCAGGAAATGATGTGTTGAATGAAAATTATAGGGTGACTGCACTGCTTGTTTTAAAAATTGAGTGCCACTCATAAGAAAAAACAAAACACTTGTTGCGCCTTTTTATTGTTTACCCTATCACGTCCTAGTAGCTATTTCTTAAAATGTTGAGGCAGAGGGTACTGTCTGTAGCTCTGGTTGAGGGTGAGAGGCTGTCAGCAGAGAAGCAGAGATCTGTGTGGGTACATGAGACCCTAAAGAAGAGGGTGGATCATGGGGAGTACCTCCAGTTGGTCCAGGAGCTTTGCCTCCATGATTGCTGTTTCCAGGCATATTTAAGGATGACTTGGAGGCAGTTTGACAACCTGCTGTCTGTTGTCGGGTCATATAGCTCTGGGTATCCAGCAACTGCTACCACCAGTTTCTCCTCCATTGTGCACCTACTGTAAACTTGTTGTCGTGACAACTACAAAAGGCCCGCCTCTCAAATAATCCAACTGGACAATGGGAAATAAGGTGAGGAAAAAGTGATGATGTGGGGCACTTTTCCGCACAGAGTGAAAAGTTTTTTCAACTTGAGGAGTTCAGAATGCTCTGTCAAAAATGCCAGGTGCCTAGCACGCAGAAACGCAAGGTGCGTCGCAACGCAAAAAACCTGCACAAAAGTCTTGATTCTCATTAAAAATATTTACAAAAAGGTGCCTCCAGCTGCTAAAACGCTTTCTGTGTGATCGAGGCCTGAGACTACAGATGACAATACAACTCCACTGCAAACATCCCTAATGATCCCACCCTCTAATCTCAGGCTAGTGAGCAAACATAGTGATGCTAGCACAAAGCAAAAAATCTCTTTAGGGAGGAAGTAAGCAAAGTGAAGGCCGTTGTTTATTACCTACCCATCAGCTATTAACAGCTAACAATGGTTGGTTGTTTTAACAGTGATCACTATCACCTTGTAACCTCAACCAAATAGGTTATGTACCTAAGCCTAAGTAAACCATCATTAGTGTGTTGTGGCAGATCACAGAAAACATTTCACATCAACCGTTTTAGAGGAAACTGAGTGGGACAGTGACAGTGAGTTTATATTCTGTCTAAAAATATTTTCATGTGGTCATTTAAAGACAGCCTCAGAAAACTTACCCCCTTGCGCTCACAGACGGAGAGCACCCTCAGAACATTCTGACACACATGGTTGACTGTTGCGTTTCCAAATACACAGGTAATGCCCATGATCTGAATGTGAGGTGCTGCCAGGGCCATCATGATGGCCTGAGCATCATCTATGCCGCAGTCAGTGTCGATGATCACCTGCTTGCTTGCCATGGTTTCCTGTAACATATACATTTCCAAAATCACAGTAAAAATACTACATCACGTCTTTCAAAGGCTGGAAGCTACAGGCTCAGTTAACAAAGACGTTAAAAGAAGTTTGTGAGTGTTATATTTTATTCTTTCTTTACACCATGTTACCATGAACTAATACAACTAATTTATACATAACCTCCCCTTTCATGTGGCAATTAATCCTATAGTGTAAGGTATTTTTTTAATAAGGTACCAGAGTAAAAACTAACATTAAAATATAGCTTGTTTGTATATTCTTTAAAAATCCCAGGGAATGATCCCCCCGGGCCCCCGTAGGAAATCCTAAAAACGCCTCTGGCTTTTAAACCCTGCATTCATGCGGTGTCCGGAATCATCGGAAAAAGTGAGTTACTGGTTGGGAAAATTCAACTGAACGCCCCCTCAACTTGGAACAATAACTCGGACATTTTGGGAAATGAGTAACTGTGTTAATGTCACATATGCAGAAACATGGCGGACTAAAGTAAATGTTCCCATCATGGAAATAAACTTTTATTAATTCACACATTGCGCGCCTTTATCTGTAACTCATATGTAATGTAACCGTTAGTTGCTGCCCATGAAGAGATCCGTTAGAAAAGTTATTTATTAGCATCAGTCAGGTAAAGTGATATCTGTAGTTTTAGGGATGTCTTGGTGCAGCAACAAGTCTGGGACAAAATCACAGTAATACAAAGATTCAACTGTTATCACCGTGTTGTTAAAAAGCTCTGGGCAATAAAATACAACACAGCTCCTTTGTAGCGTCCATGTTGTTTTCCCATTACGACTTAAAGCTCGTGAACACACCCAAGTCGGAAGAACCACTTCCCAATTATTATTACTATTAATATACATGTATGTTCCTCAGGAAACGGGACCACCCGAGGAGCGCGTGAATGCAGCATAACACTTATTTAGTCTTTTTCACCTCTGAAGTGTGCGTGCGGTTTAACAAAGCGCGTGACTGATAATGCATACGAATTAAAAAAAATGCGTCTATGCCAACATGAATTATAGTGTAAGTATTATTATTTATTATTTTTAGTATTCGGCTGGTCAGTAAAATATGGGACAGACTTACCTTCAGCGAAGAAAAGTTTAAAGAGTCGCCGCAGACGCTCCTGTGATTGGTTTGAACTGTTGGATTGTACCACTGCGTAATAACACGGGGGTCAGGCCCTCTGAAAGTGACGTGTATATGTAAAGTAAATTTAATATAACTCATTGAAACACGGTCTTCAACAGGCAGTATTACTTTTGTGTTTGTCTACATTGTTGACGCGAGTGTTTTAATGTTGTAATACAGCGTTAATATTTTCGGACACCCCGGTTGGCTCTCAGAATGGTACGGTCCTGTAAACCTGCACAGGAAGAAGATACGGGTCAGGAGGACGACGTTTGGGATTTATTATCGCTTATTTCTAACATGTCCGGCGCTAATGTGCACCTGCGTGGAGTGATATGTAGTTAGCTTGACGTTTAGCCGGTTTCCACCCCCGTCTGGCTTTGAGCCTTCTCACGAGGTATGATGGGAAAGAATAACGGACCAGCTGGGCGTGTTTACATCTGCTAACTACAATACCGTGCAGCACTGATAGCTGGAGCTGCGTGCTCGTCTCGGTTACAGCGGCTGCACAGGTGAAATGTTAGTTAATGTTCAATAACCGCGCAGCTTCCTACAGCCGGGTATTAAAGAGGCTCTGTTCGCAATAGGTGACTTATTAGAGGTTAAAGGTAATATTTGTGTGGTGCTGTCTAATGTGGCTGTAAGTTAGAACAAGGACATTGAGGGTAGGGCTGCAAGCAACGATTGTGTTAGTTACTGATCAATCTGTGGATTATTTTCTCGATTAATCGATTAGTCGTTTAGTCTTCAAAATATTGCAAAACCCTGTTAGAATATCATAGAGCCTGAATGACTCCATCACACGTTTTGTCCAACTAATATTCCCATTAAATTTATTATAATGTAAGACCAAGGTAAGGAGCAAATCATTTATGGCATTATTATATAAAGATATAACATGCAGGATTTCCCTAGAAAATAATGTATAGACTCATACAGAAGTAATCCCTCACACTTATCCCTTGTGACCCACTAGAATTATGTGGTGTTTTCCTGCAGAGACTCTGCCCTCTGTCTTAATTTTTGTGTTTGGGACGTTTATGGGCATGTACTTTTACAGTGCTCTGGTGCTTAATAAAAGGTAGCGACCATGTGCCAGGCTGCAAGCAGAAGGCATCCAAGAGACACAGCGCTTGAAAAACTCAAATACAGCGAGGTGAAATGCCAAATGAGATTGAATCTAGAAGACTTTCACTCTCCCTTTTTGTGGCGATTGTGTCTACAAACTGGGCAGTATACTTTACATGATTCAGTTAGTATCAGAATAGTTGCTGATTACTTTTCTGTCGATTGAATAAAAAAGTAGGTCCACAATAGGTCTGTTTCAGAGTTACCACTTTGAAAACAGTAGTACAAAATGATTTATGTGATCAGATGTCCCTGCATGCACAGTGTGTGGTCTCTGTCGCTTCAGCTCCATCTTCCTTTTATATCTGTGTCTAAAAAATGCCTGTCCTTTCATCACCAGAAAAGCCAGCCATCACTTCAGCATCACAGTCAGCCTCAGCTAGCTCTGTCATCCATCATATAAGTGGCTGTTCAATGCCTAATACATCAGAAAGTCAAGGAGCAAACCTATCTGGGCCAGCAGAACCGTCGGGGCTGCAAAGGCCCACCAATGGGGAGGAGGAACATGGTCTGCTCAGCTCCATCGCCCGGGACGCTGCCAGAGTAAGGAGGGCTTCGAGCGCCGAGCTCCACCTGCCGTGGACCTGCCCGGTCACACACTCCCGTGAGAAGTTCTACACGGTCTGCTCTGATTATGCTCTTCTCAACCAGGCTCCCTCCGTGTACCGTCCCCCAAATGCAGCCAGGGACGTTGTCACGAGCAAGCAGGACGACGGGCTGTCTCTTGTGAAGCCAAAACCTGCATCTGATTTCAGTGCTGGCCATTCGGGAGGGGCCCATGTGGGATCAGATGGGGATTGTGACATGGTTGAAGTGTCCTCCAGCCACGCTAAACCTATTTTAGCCTGGGAGATTGATACCACAGACTTCAATGCGGTGCTCACCAGGAAAACAAGAACAAGTAAGAAACATGTTATTAGAGAAGCCTGTGACAGTTTCAACCCTTGTTTATCCGACATTGACTGATGCTGTGTTTCAGGCAATGTGAAGAAATGCAGCACCAAGAAGATGAAGTCATCAGACAGACCCAGCCGAAATCTGCAAGACGTCTCTCCTCATGCCTCGCTGGAGGAGATCAAACAGAGGAAAGTGCTGGACCTCAGAAGATGGTAATGTTATATTTAGAGCCTCAAGAGTTTAAAAGAGAAACCCATTGAAGTGAGCTTCACATCAGGCTGCAGGAGCGCTGTTAGCTCCAGAACATTTTCAATCATAGCTTTTTACAGTCAGTGACAATTATGAACTCTACTATGAGTTTAGTTTTAGGTGTCTTTTATTTGTATATTTTTTCAGCATGAATTAAGATTGCATTACTATAAAAAGAAGGGCACCTCTTTACTGCATGGTTATGTCACTGTGTAACAGTATATGTCAGAGATGAATCAGAAATGCTGCAAAATGCTTCAGTAGGCTTATTTCCTGTTTGCACACAGTAATTTAAAGTGAACAAAATGAATTAATGTAAATCAAATAACACAATATAGAACTACATGTATTCATTATACATATATGTTTAGGATAGATACAGATATAGAAATATAGAAAACAGTGGTTGTCAACCCTGTGTTCTGCATCATTACATGCAACATTAGATCTAACTAGTGATGAGAAGATTTTATTGTGTTGAAAGAAGTAGGCCTTCACAGGTTTTCAGCATCAGTGCAACTGTTTTATTATTATTTCTTAAATATAAAATCTGCTAAGCCTGCCTGTGCGGCACTGATGTTATTATAACAGGATATTTACTCTCTGTAACTGACGTGCTGCTCAGTTGGGAAGCAGTGGCACTCATACGTAGTGTCAAATACATGGCGTTCTTAGGATTTAAGCTCATGTTGCGTAGAAAGATGTTTCAGTATATTGCTCGTGTTTCCATTCTTACTAGAAGACTGTTGTCATCTTTCTTTGTGAAATGAAGCTTAGGACCGTTTAATTCCTCTCCGCCATGAATCCTCCGTGTTCCAAGTTTCCATCAGTGCAAACACTTGAGTTTTACCTCATTGTTTTGCTTTGCAACTGTCAGAAAAACATGCGGGAATTGATAAGCTTGGAGGTGTACAACTCAGATGGATGAGATTTGGAACCAGTTGTCGAATGCCATCCCTACACGTAATTTCCTCTCTTGGATCTCTTTGTGTGCCTGATCCATCCCTGGCAGTCTTCTGCAGAACTGTCCAGACATCCAGCATTTACTGAGTCCAACAGGGACATCAGATCATTTGGCTGGTGGTCATAAACATTCCAGCTCCATATGGAGCAGAATTCCTCTGTTGGGTTGAGGAATGGAAAGTAACGAGGCAGGAAAAGTGACTCCGTCCTGAGATGAGCTGTGAACCACTCTGTCACTGGAAGAGAGTCTTGAAGTGTCACATCATCCTGTACAACTACTACAATTTTTGTTTTTTTTTAGAAATAACGGAGTGTAGCGTATTGTCTTCTAATTCACAACAGCACGCAGGGCTCAAAATACTTGGCTCTGCTTTAAAATTACATGCAAATTTTGTCATCTTGTCATTCCACCACAGCTGCGACCAAAAGAAATCGACCAACATCGACCACTATGACATTTCTTTTGCACGACAGTTCAAATATGAGGAAATTGTGAGTGCGTCATGATGTAATCTGAGTTGACTTACCCCAAAAATCTGTACAGTAAAATAGCTTAAAATTTTACTTGATTATAATCAGGGTCATTCTGAGTAAGATTACACTGACACTTTCCTCAGAAGGAAAACACATATTCATTTAATTTAGGAGAGTTTAAAAATTAGTATATTTTCAATGTCACACATATCATTTGAGCTGAGTTTCCCTGTACAGTAATGTGCAGTGAAATGACATCTGGGAACTAGCAGGAATGTTATTTACAATGTTCAGCAAACCTAATATGGAAACTAAACTAAATTATTAGTAATACAAGTTTTGCAAGCATCCTTTTTGGCCGCTCCAAGTACCGGTGTTGTATCAAAATGTGTTCGCCCACTGAATAGCGTTTCCCCCCCTGTTAACGCGTAACGCCCCCCTTGTTGGTTAGGGTTAGGGCTAAGGGTTTGGGTCAGGTTTAAGTGGAGGGGAAACACATATCGACAGAGGAACAGTCTGCGACGTAACACTGGTACCATAGCAGCAGTAATAGACGTGTGTCAAAAGCTGCTGCTCTGTTTTGTCTGTCAGTGTCCTCTTTTTGCATCGCAACATTATCTATTATAAATTAATTTTCATTACGTGAGAAAATGGATGTGTGGCATGAAAGCATGTGGAATGTGTCAGTCTGTAAGTGTCAGGGTCAGTGTGTGAGAGTGGGCAGCCCTGCACAACATATTGTCTGTACAAAGGTCCGTGCATTGGTACATGTAGAGCTAAGAATTACGTGTGTAGCTCAAATTTTACCTGCACTACAATAAATATGCAGGTGGTATTTTGAGCCCTGGTATCTGAACATTTACAAAGTTTAAATGCACAGAAATTTGGTTGAGTGTGAGTTAGAAAAGTGTCATTGAATGTATTTTATAAGCAATGAAAAGTCAGTAGTCCAGACTGACATCTGTTGTGCTGACTGTGAGAGAGGTTTTACAAAGTGAACTCAGCACTGAAAAATGTGTTACAGTTGTAATATAATATATTCTGTTATATTTAAATGTCCTGGGGATCCTTTGTGCTTCAGGTACTGCATCAGTCGGCCACAGTACAAGACTTCATGTGGAATCTCTTCTCTGGTTTCCTGCTGGAACTTCTTGTACAGCACTCTGGGTGCCGGGAGGTGAGCAGCACATAATGTCCTCTGTCAGACGCCATGTAAAAATGCAGCTCCTCTGACACTTAGTGTGTATTTATTTGCATTGCTAGTCTGCCGCCCATCTCTCAGGAGGAGGCTCTGCATATTCTGGGTTTTCAGCCGCCTTTTGAAGAAATCAAGTTCGGTCCTTTCACTGGCAACGCAACCTTAATGCGGTAAACAAAAGTGCTTGTTTGTTTCTATAAAATAAACACTACATTGATATGTATGTATTTATGTATGCAGCTCAGTTATCAGTACATTGTTCTTACAGGTGGTTCAGACAAATCAATGACAATTTCCGAGTGCGAGGTTGCTCCTACATTCTGTACAAGCCGCACGGGAAACACAAGACAGCAGGAGAGACAGGTGAGTCCCCCAGCTGTCAAACTCAACTGCATGTCCGCTAATACAGACACAAAACAAAAGTGATCACCGCTCACGTCTTTTTAGCTGAAGGAGCATTGATGAAGCTGACACAAGGACTGAAGGATGAGTCTATGGCCTACATTTACCACTGCCAGAACCACTACTTCTGCCCAGTGGGCTTTGAAGCTACGCCACTCAAAGCAGCAAAGGCTTATAGGTAGGTCCCATCGCTGAACTGTAAGTTCAGTATTTATATTACTGGCTGTTTTGCTGATATGTATATTTTTTGATGAGTAGTTCACAGGGTTCCTACACAGTGTGGAAATGATGGAATTGGATTTTTGTAATTTCCAGGTCTGGATTAGAAACAAGTATAAATGGACCAATTTAAAAAATTGGTGTTTCTTTTGTCTCTCAGACGCAAAACATGGGAAAGTAGAGTCCAAGTTATCCTTAAAAGGAAAATAATATGAGTATAATAAGTAGCACAGGTAAGTCTACTTCCTCTTTAGGCAGAGATGTTTGACAGTGGAACCAACTTTGTGTGTAGGAGTGTGGACTGTACGGCCACAGTGGGTAAATGCAAGTTTTCCAAGGGCTGGATATTTATACTCACATGTCAGATAGGGCCTGAAAAGAGTTTAGAAACTGATCAGTGGTGTCCTTTCTTTGCAAAGGGGCCCTTTACCCACCAATGAAATGGAGTACTGGATCCTCATTGGCGAGCCCAGCAGGAAACACCCAGCTATCCACTGTAAAAAGTAAGCGCTGTCTCCATTCAGTTTCCTTATTTGATCGTGTCCTGTATTTCAGCTGCTGAACATGAAGCGTCTCTTTTCAGGTGGCTCGACATTGTGACAGACCTCAACACACAAAATCCAGAATACCTGGACATCCGTCACACAGAGAGGGGGATTCAGCGCCGCAAAACCAAAAAGGTTCCCCTTCCTCACACCTGTTATTTTAAACATTGCTGATTGTGTTAACATGTCAGGGTCAGAGGCTAACTGAGAGAACGCTCGCTTGGCTCACAGGTGGGTGGCAACCTGCACTGCATCATGGCCTTCCAGAGGGTGAACTGGCAGAAGCTCGGCCCCTGGGCTCTTAACTTGGAGAACCTGCGCCACGACTTCCACCAACACGGCACAGAGCGGCCCCAGGTGAGCGACGCAGAGGAGGCGGAGGAGAGGACGTCATCCAAGCGCCTGGCCAACCTGGGACGCTCACACAGTATGGGAAGTCAGAAGGACACCAGCTGGAAACGTCTGTCCAACACCACAGAGTACAGACAGAGGAGCTCCCCTGACAGCGACCTTGAAGAAGACATCACAGACTGAAAAGGTTCACGGGACATACGGGGGGAGGGGGTTAAGTAACAGATATTACAGTACAGTAGCTCTGAGATACATTTGAGAGGATAGCTCTGCTGTTATAATATATTTTACTGCCAACAAATCTCATGCTAAAACTAAAACCAACAACGTGTTAGTCTGTTTCTCAGTGCTCTCTGAGATCCTCGGCCTGTCTCTGGCTCTCAGCCCAGAGCCCATTTACTGTTGCTGGGGACGTGAATTGCAAAGCTTTAAATAGCTGATATACAGTAGTTTCATTGTTAAACTTAAACTGTTTTTTTTCCATTTGGGGGAAACAATCACATTAACACAACACTGACATGTCATTGCCTTTAAAGGGATAGTTTAGATTTTTTGAAGTGTGGTTTTATGAAGTAATATATGCTATATTTAGAATATTTTCACTGCTTTACCTGGCTACCGCTGCCTCGATCAAGTAGTGTGTTTGTTATTATGTGACTTTGGTAAATCCCAACTAACCCTTTAAAACACCAAAGTCACACAGTAACACGAAGTGGCAGCCTGACAGCTGAAACCCATCATAAAACCCCTTAAAGACGAGGGGAGTTTTTGATTTGAGTGACTCTTGTCTGTAGCTTCATCACTATGAGAGACCCTTTTCACATTTTCATTGTCACTTAATACATTTTGATTATAAAAATGTTAATTATAGCAGCTCTAAATAAGCAGAATAAATTTAAATAGAAGAAAATAGCACATTTGTCGGGGACTATTTCTAGCGGGGGATTAATTCACATTTGCTGCATCACTGAGGAGTCATGGCAGCAGGATGGCGAATATACGATTACAGTGCCCAAGTTCATTGGAATGAAGGAATCCACTGCAACACCTTGGATGTGTCCTTTTTCCAGATTGTATCTAGTTATATAGTTATGATTGAACCTGATTATATTTACAGCTGCATTAATAAATGTCCCCAGTGTCCTCCTTTAGATCTGATTGCTCTGTCCAGCTCAAAGAACCAAACAGGCCCCGCCCCTGCCTGTCAACAACTGTTATGATAAGAATACAAAAAAATGTCTTGATTATTTTTTTGCACATTATTAGATGATTTTTAAAGACACTATTGGTGTAAAACTGAGACAAACATTTAAAATAGTCTTTGCTGGTCCAGAGTTTTCTTTGTTACCTGTCTGTAAAGACAGCGATCAACAGGAACAATATGCTATGTTGAGAGCGATGAGGGAGGCACCGCAGCTGTGTTAACATCAGATGAGATGGAGACCACTGTGTGCCCTGTAGCTTCAGTGTCAGGTGATGGGAGAGCTGCTGCTGCCTTGCTGTTTTGAAAAACTTGCACATGATTACGTATTCCTGGCTACATAGTTGGACGCAGATCGAAAAAGCAGTTGCAGTTACACTTGGGTTCAGTGTGGTCACAGTGTTTTCCTGACACCTCCAAGAGGAGGTTTGGTGGATTGAAGAGCAGCACCTTCTCATTGCATTTTGGGTACATTTACACCTGTGCTTTTATGTGGTAAAACACATTTTAATGTAAGGTGTAAAAGTGGTCAGTGATGTGTTTTTGAAACAGTGGTGCTCTGTGGGACAGAGGAACATCATGTTTTGAATACACAGACACTTGATAACAGGATCAGTTCAGTGTTGGTTTTGGTCTCTTGATGGGATTTGTTGACAGTATAAAAATATAGTTTATCACCAGACTTGTACTTGACAGTTTTTTAAGACTATCAGATGTGGAGTCAACTCAGCTGTCATTTTTGGGGCCATATTGTAGTCGTGAGTGCTTTCAATCAAATAATCTTTCAGAGTCAGGGTTGGTGAGGTTCTGCCTACTGTTCCTCTTTGTCTTCATGATTTTTGACGTTTCCTCACTTTTCTCTGTCTGCCAGCATCTACCAACGATACACCAACTGCTTTAAATCAAAAACAACGGCAGCTACTCCACAAGTCAGCCACATCAAACTACCATTGAGCAGTGTGTTAGTTAATAGACTATTATTGTTTGTTTTCCACACAATGTATTAAGAGAAAACTTCACCTGCAAAATGATAATTTGTATAATAATTACTCTAAAAACTTAATTTGAATGAAGAATCCATGTGAAATGGAGTTTTCTGTTGAAATTCAAGGCAACATTGGGTGAGTACTGAATATACAAATAGATATGTAGGTGAAGTATTCCTTTATTGTACAAGATCTAGAGGCGTGCAGATAGTCGCCGTCTGAGCTGCTAATGCATCTGTATGTTCTGTAATAAAGGTGGAAAGTCTCAAAAATCATGATGACGTATAACAAACATATTAAAAAAAATACAATTTTCCTGACAGCACATCAAACTACGGCCTCAAAAATTGACTTCTAGTTGTATTGAGTGGTATAAACTTCATGGCCACTGCACTGTAAGGTGTTTCTGTTATTTTGTCCACCCCTGTGTCGTACTAATACATGGAGATTAGATGTTCTCACAGGTGTTCACACCACAGGATTGTTTTATATTTCACCCGACTGCTAATCACATGCACATTCCTCTGAATCTGATTTTGTTGCTATCACTTCATGTTAAACTCACTGCAGTGGTTCTGTAAGAGTGCACATTATGTTCCACTAGTGCTGTTAGAGAACACGACGTCCACACATCTGCTGTAAATTCTGTTCAAACATGACACACCTCCACAACTCATTGTACAGGTAAGTGGGCTTGTGTTGCGCCTGTGGTTAGTTCAGTGGAAATGCCGTCCAGTTTCAAGTGTTGTGAAAGCAGCTGACATTTTGTTTGTGCTTTGTGAAACCTCCAGTGAGACTGTTGCGTAGATGATCCCAGTTTTTAAAAAGACAGGAGCTGTACAGAAGTGATCGTGGAATCCCTACAACTCTTTGAAAATGTGAAACCACAGAAAGTGAAGACTGCATGGTTTAGCTTCACGTTGATTTGTGTACAGCCACAGTTTGTCCTCACAGTTCTGTTCGCCTTTGACCCCACACAGACGTCATTGTGTGATTTGATGTAGTGATTTATTTATTTATTTTACAATAAATTAAGATCTTTTTATAAACTCCTGGAACAGACATCTTTCTTCACCACAATCACTGCTTCCAGTCCAGTCACACGGCCGAGGATGGAGACGTGCAACTTCCTTTTAACTCTCGCCGTAACTCTGCTATGTGAGCAGGACCGATGCGACAGCAGCCCCCTGATGAAGAAACATCAGAAACTCATCAGAGGAAAAACAGAAAAACAAAACAAAACTTAAAGGAAGAGAAAACAGTTGACCTTACCTATCAAAGCAGCACCTTGTTTCATCCATGTGTGACCCAGTTCAGATATCGATGCTGATGTTTTCTCTGATGTCAGCCACCTTATGAAGGATAAAAACAACATGAAACAGTGGTGGTGGAAGTACTCAGCAATACTACACTGTAAAATACTCCATTACTAGTAAAGGTCCTGCATTTAAAATTCTATATATTTAACATAACTGTACAAAAGTATTATCAGCAAAAAGTCCTTAAAATATGAAATTATGATGCAGAACAGCTCTTATAATGTATTATTAGCCATTTGTGTTAATGAGCACTTGAACGGGTGTACCTAATAAAGTGGCCAGTGAGTGTATAACACAGCTGCAAATCAAGGTTAAGCCAACATTATTTAACCTGAGTAAAGCAATGTAATATGTTGGACAGCAGAATAGCTCTGCTTTTGTATAAGATGTCACACTGATGATGTCACTGAAGCTGTGACCTTGATATTGAATCTCCTGACCACACACTCACCCCTGCTCAGAGTCCCAGTCCTCGCCACTGTTCGGGTACACCACCCAGCTCATGTCCGGGCTCAGCAGCAACCTTGCAGACTGCAGCAGCGGCTCCACCAGCGCTGGGGAGCAGCAGTTGACTCCGACAGCAACCAGCTGCGTGCATCTGTTCGCCATCTGCACTGCCTCGCTGAAGGAGCTGCCATCTGATATACATGTCCCATCCTGACAGGGTGTGAGCACAAAAATGTGAGTTATTTTGAAACAACGTACGACAGTTAACGAGGAAGCCACAGTAACTACAGTGACGATGAGCAGTGGTTACCTTACAGGAGAAGGAGAGCCAGGCTTGAGAGTTTGGGAACTCTCTGAGCAGCTCAATCAGGGCCTCCGCCTCTTTGATGCTGGGGATTGTCTCGAAAGCGAGGAGATCAGCTCCTGCTGCTGCCAAGCAGTCGATCTGAGGACGATGCCAAACTTTAAACTCCTTGGAAGAGAAAAAGAGAAGCCTGAGAACACTGATCGTGACTTAATTCTACAACAAATAATCTACAACGGGAAAATATGACCAAACATGCACCATGATAACACAAGTTCACACGAGTCAGTAAGAAGGTCACTGCTGTGGTGCAGAAACATTTCTCTCCCCATGAATTACCTCCTCATATTTTCTTTAAAATATGTCACATATTTATAAGGAATGGCTTCCTCTGCAGATTAAGATCTTTGTTATCCACCTTCTGCATAAAAAGACTACAATTCCATAGAGACCATCTTCAGGAAGTGACATCATTTTTTGGCGGGAACTCAAAGGAGCAAAGTGTGGTGAGCTTAAACTCTACCTCGTCTTTTTTCCCTTGTTTCATGATGTTAATCTGTTTGTCACACACTCAAACTTTCACCCCGTCAGGCTGAATCATGAAGGAAGTTGGTCCTTTAAAACATATTTGGTATAGTTATAAAAGTTATATAATCTCGAGGAACAGCCGGGGGGAGGAAGGGGTCCAGTTTGGGGACCTCAGAATTGCATCTCTGCTTTTTGCAGATGATGTGGTTCTGTTGGCATCATCACGCAGTGACCTCCAGCATGCACTGGGGCGGTTTGCTGAGTGTGAAACGGTCGGGATGAGAATCAGCACCTCCAAATCTGAGGCCATGGTTCTCTGTCGGAAAATAGTGGACTGCCCTCTCTGGGTTGGGGGAGAGTTACTGCCTCAAGCGAGGGAGTTCAAGTATCTCGGGGTCTTGTTCACGAGTGAGGTTAAAATGGAGCGTGAGATGGATCGGCAGTTTGGTGCGGCTTCTGCAGTGATGCAGGCGCTGCGCCGGTCCGTCGTGGAGAAGAGGTGAAGAGGGAAGGCTAAGCTTTTGATTTACTGGTCCATCTACGTCCCAACCCTCAACTGTGGTCATGAGCTCTGGGTAGTGACTGAAAGAATGAGGTCGCAGATACAAATGTCCGAAACGAGTTTCCTCCGTGGGGTGGCTGGGCTCAGCCTTAGAGATAAGGGGAGGAGCTCGGACATCTAGAGGGAGCTTGGAGTAGAGCCGCTGCTCCTTTGCGTCGAAAGGGGTCAATTGAGGTGGTTCGGGCATCTGATCAGGATCCTCCTGGGGAGGTGTTCCAGGCACGTCCTACTGGTAGGAGGCCCTGGGGCAGACCCAGAACACACTGGAGGGATTACATATCTCATCTGGCCTGGGAACACCTTGGGGTCCCCCAGGAGGAGCTGGAAAGTGTTGCTGGGGAGAAGGATGTCTGGGGTGCTTTGCTCGGCCTGCTGCTCCCACGACTCGGCCCCGGATGGGTGGATGAAAATGGATGGATGATTCTGATACAGATGTTATATTTCACTCAAAACCACAAAGCTTAAGGTCATGGTGGCCCTAGAAGAAATGTCCAGGGATCGCCAAAGTCATTAGGATACATCCTCTTCGTACCACAAGTGTCGGTACCACATTTTCTGCCAAAAAACCCTGTCCAACAAATCCAGTCACAGTCCCCCAATCCCAGATGAATCTCTTTCAGACTCGTTGACTCAATCAGGTTAAGAGCTAACCTGACGGAGAACTGAGACACCACTTCCCCTCACGTGAATGCGCAAAACCAATGGGAAGGGCCAAGACAAGGGCTAAGGGGAAGAAATGGAATTGGTCCTTGGTCTGTAAGGGCTTAGGGCTTGAGTCAACGAGTCTGTAAGGGATCCATTTGGGATTGGGGGAGTGATTTCTTGCAGGGTGGTAAAACAAAACTATT